GTACAATAGTTAGTGTTTAATATATAACTATTGAAATACTAACTTAGGTTGATCAGATCCGGAATCAGCTGGTGTGTCTTTGTTCTGATTCTTTGTTGCTTTTGTTGATGTAGAGGTTGTCTCAACATCTTTACCTAGAAATTTCAAAATAATAAATGGATTGATAATATAAAAAAATCTCACAGTTTCCTGTCATTAAGTATTATTGCAGAAATGAGTGCAAACAGTCAATAACAAGGCTTGGTAACAACATTTATTTTTCAAAGATAAGTGTATAATTAATAAGTTCTAACTGTTGTTGCCAAGCTTTAAACATACTTTAGTTACAATGGTGCAATTAGACCAATGAGTAAGGGGGTAAGTTTATTGCAGCTCATTAATAAAATAAAACCTAAAGCATTTGCTTATTTTAAACAATTTAATGTACCACACTGGAACACAGTGCAAGCTGTTTGAATTATTAGTAATGTTTGCTTGGTTTAAATATGTATGCAGTTGTGTATTTAGATAAGATAAATGTATATATTATGAACCCAAGTCAACTGCAGTTAGATAAATTTGCTTTCTATGCCTAGTAAACATTGTTCAATTATATTTAAAAAGCCGGTCATCTAAAACATTGAAACTTACTACTGTAATTTCTAACTCATAGAATTTAACTTTAATTATAATTCTTTATATGATTAATAATTCTGTGAATTACACTTAACTTTCATATTATTTACTAACATACCTGCTGGTGTAGAAGCTCTAGATTCTTCTCTTGCCGGTGTAGAGCTGGCAGCAGCTTCTGATTTGCGACCTTTAGCTGGAGCTGAAATCCATAAAAACTGTTAAATATATGTGTATGAAGACAATTTGAAATTATTGTTTTAATATAGATTTTGGTAGCTTATTCAAGTTTAATAAAACTATTTTTTTTAAAGGTTAGTAGCTCGCTATTAAAGTACTTTTTAATAGCTAAAAATCATTTACTGTGACTGATTTTTAACAAATTGAATGTTTACAGTACGGTATCATTTTTAAAATTAAGTTAAAAACTGATGACTATTGAAGTCAATAAAATATATATTTTTTTATTTATACACTTTTAACTATTAAGTATGTTTGATTTTGTGTGTGATTTTTATTCAATTCATTTTGTAAATATTAGATATGTGTATAGCACTGAAAATTAAAGGCTTTGAAGTTCAACAACATTCAGAAGATCAACATTATTCAAGAAACAGGCCTGGCTACTTCAAAGGCAATATAAAAATAATGTCTATTATACATAAACTTACTCTTTTTAGTCTTAGCTGGTTGTGCAGAATGGGCTCTCTGCACTTCCTTTTGTCTTTGGACATTGGCTTCATTATACTTCAACACTCTGCTCTCTGGGACCCATTCATCCCAACTGGAATTCAAGTAAATAAATACATCTCAGTAAAAATTCAACAATGTTAAGTGTTAAATAAATAAACTTTTATTATCATTTTTTCTTTGGTGCACTCCACCAGACATGTTATAAGGCATAAAAGCAAAACAATATATTAAAATAACAGAATATGTAATAGGGATGGAAGTAAATATGTGTTTTTTTATAACCACTTGTAACAGAACTTCACTTTTACATAATTATATTTATGTAAAATAGTAACTGTAAAAAATAATTTTACAGAAAAAATCATCAACATTACATGACTAAGGGTTTGTTAATTATCATTTGATGTTTTGCCAGTACAATCTCCCAATGAAACATCTATTTCTTAGTTTACTTTACTACAGAAAAATATACTACTATGGTTTAATATTACAAGCAATCACAGATCTATAATGTTTAAAATAATAATTAAAAAATACATAAATATATGCCTTAATATCTACGGCGAAAAAAAACTATACATACTTTTTATTCCATCCAGCATAATGAATTAAATACCGAACATGTTTGTCTTTTGTGACAGAGCTCTTTAAACATTTGGCTTCATAAATAAGTGGCCCATGGAAGCATAATACCTTTTCGCCTGTGGAGAATAGTAATTAAAAAGTAAGTCTATAAGTTACAAATAATTTTATAAATATGTTGTTATATAGATACCTTCAGCAAACTTTAGTTTTGGTGCCATTACTTATAAATTTACATTAAGATTCAAATATCAGCCATTAAAATATTTTAAACTAAATACTATTGATTTAAACGGAAGAAAACATAATAATTAAACACGTTTAATTAATAATTACATTTAAACAAGTTTAAACATAAAACAGTAAACTGTGAAAACAGGACGCGAGAAGAAGCGGTGATGACAATTTACATACAGTGACGTTTGTATAGTTTTTCTGATCATCGACAATTGCCATTGATAGATGTCAAGTGACATTAACCGCTTAGGGCCTTAGACAAAACCACTAAGACAAACGAATTTGAAGGTGTCTCGCCTGTCGCAAAGTAATTTTGTGGTCATAGTAAAGAAACCGCAATAAAACGGATGACAAAGGAATGTGTTAATGCTCAGTGAAATGAATAGTGCAATAGGTGACTCGTCCCTGAGGATATTTCCGGAGTTGTGTCGCTCGCGGTGGTAGATGCTATGCTAACCAGCCCACCAGCCCTAGCTTAAGTAAATAAAGTCCCTTTTTAGGGATAGTGATAATATACCTCTCTGCTGTTTAGCTTCTCAACCACAGATCTGCCTGATCGCGTGGTTGGTATTTGGGGTCCTATATATGTATAAATTAATTATTAAGGTAGCTTGGCAGTTTGCTATCGACCTTGTACAAACCTTTGTCGACATTTATTAGACGAAATATCGATCTAAATAGCGTTAACAACTAGGTATTCTTAACAATACAAAAATAATTAATCATTATATATTACACAAAACTGACTATAATAAGTGTGTACGAAAGACTTAATTTGTTGTTATTTTTAAGGCTTGAAAGCAACGAGCGTCCGAATGTAAATGAGTTCACGACCACCAAGCATAAAAGAAATACATATATCGTTTATAAGTTATGTAATTAGATGTCTCATCATTCACGTATAAGTTCTTGGTAAGTATATACTACTTTATTAAAGAGTATTCCAAAATATTTTTATTCCATTAATCGCCAGAATTTATGTATTATCAGTACTCCATAACAGCGTCTACTGACGGGAGCTTATTAAAAAGAGCGTGTGTCAAGAGTGAGAAAAACGTTTCAATAGAACATTATATGAATTAGCTATATGTAAGTATTTATACGACAAACATGATACTTCTTAAAGGGAGCAGCGTTGTTTTTTCAACGCCTTTACAACGAAATATCATTGCAGTACCAGAGCTATTCCCAGTATATTATTTTTATTATCCCGTCACGGCGCCGTTTGAGCGTTGGTTCATTTCTACGCTCTCGATATTAAAAATCTCCAGAGCTTCCAGTATCCTGTTTACAGTATGCTTCTGTATGTTTTCCAACTTCTTCTCAGTGGTATTCTTCATTACTGAAGGTCACGACACTGTAAGGTCCCTGCTGCCCTGCTAGTGGGCAGAACCGCAACTTGATCACACCCCCCCCGGGTGGGTGTCCCCCCCCCCCCCCAACCTTTTTATTCCACCTTAATCGCCAACGACATCCATTTGTTACAGTTCGCGGGCATACGACCCAAGTAAATTGGGTTTCTTCAGCGTCTACTGACGGGAGCTTATTAAAATAGAGTGATCCGAGTGTCGTGGTTCTCGTATTAACTTTGAGTTGATCCAAAACACCCAACACCCCATCTCCAGTGCATAAATTGTTTTTGTTTTCCTGTCTTGCGTTTGAATCCTCCATGACTCCAATCCGTAGAACATTATATGAAACCCAACGTTAGTTCTCATATTAGTAGAATTAAAGACTTTCGTATCTTGAAAGATGCGCTGATAAACTGCCCATATTAAGTTTTCCAACAACGTCCGCGGTTTAAGTAGTGCAGCGTGCCAATGAAATTTTAACAAAACGGTAGCGTAGGGGTACAACGAAATATGATTGCAGTAAACCATGTGAGCTATTCCATGACATGTATGAACTTATTTTATTATCAAAAAAAAAACGTTACGAAATCGTGGTTCTCAACATTTTATACTTACCTTTTAAATAGTAGATTTTTTATAACAATTTAAATACAAAATTCGTCCGTGACCTCTGGAGGCGATTAGACGTTTTCAAGAAAGAACGTAGAATGAAAAAAGAGGCGAAGAACTAATTAAAATTACAATCATAGAAAATTTTATGTAAAGGTTAAAGGTTTTATAATCCAATAAAAGTTCTCTCCTACAGGTCTACTTTTTGGTTACTTATGTATTACTGTTATTATCAAAACCTACATATTATTAATATTATGGATTAATTTAACGATGGAACAACAAAATTGCGTCATACCTATTATTCGGAGCCACCCCCAATTTGTACAAGACTTTATTTTTAAAGCTGAAAAATCTAAAATATTTACTTTAAAAGATTAAGAAAAGGGAAAAATATACATATTTGATGCTATGCGGTGCAAAATATAAAAAAATATATTTAGAACTTATGTAACATTGACGATAATTGATGTAGGTACGTTTATATACTTTATAGCTACTATGGATGTTATTATAAAATGGAGTATAAATCGGTCACAAAAATAAAATCAAGTTTTTATGATATAATAAAAAAAACGTAAACGGAAGTCGTTTAAAAATGTACTATGCTATTTAAGACTAAAAGAAGAAAAGGACGCAAGATGCTATTATTAAAAAATACTCATAAACATAATGTTATACCTATATGTATTTCGTTTAATCCAAGTTAAACAATACACCCAAAGGCAAACACTAAAATAATATCTGTGATTTACCTATTCGCTATATTATAAATTAAACCACAATGTGTGTTTTTTTTTTGCCGCTACAGAATATACTTTCATTAATGATAATAATATCATAGTCCGAAAACATTCAGTTGGCCGGTGACAGCGCGCCGCGTTTCCCGCGTTCGTTTCAATTATTTTTTTAAAAATGTCTCAACAAGGACCTGCCTTTGATGTAAATGCAATGACTTTGACCCGTTGGGTCTTAGCTCAGCAAAGAACAGTTCCAGGGGCCACTGGGGACTTGACACAACTTCTAAATTCAATACAAACGGCTGTCAAGGCTATACAATCAGCTGTGAGGAAGGCCGGCATCGCTAAACTGTTAGTATCTTGTTTTATCACGTAAATACGTAAATATTTTACATAGTTACTTTGTGTCGAACTCTGTGGGTTTGTAAGTTAAGCCGTTTTTATTAGATTCCTATATTTTTTCCCTACTTTTACGTTTGTTTTATCGGTAGACAAGGTTCGAAGTCCGCTGATATAGGCACGGCTAAATTTCATTTTCATAGCTTGTGACTTAGTTTAAAAATAAATAATCTGAGACTACTTAGTAAGTTATTTTAATTCGGATAGTATGTTTTTATCATCGAAACAAATGTTAATGAGCTATGTAACGTTACGCGAAAAACGCACTCTATCGACGTGTTTTTTTCCTTCAAATTAAAGTAGAAATAATAATTATTTTAATGAAGAATGTCTGATAGTTGGCATATACAAACATACGTTATTGATTCGAAGTGGGAAGATCTAGTTTTACCGAAGCAGGCGGCGCTCAGTAATGTGAAAGTAAAAGAAAGTTTGAACTCCTTATCAAATTGGATGCTGTGCGTATATCAAGATGAAATAACTTTATTTAAAAGTGACACTTCGTAAACTATCCCATTTCGTTCAATTTTACCACCAAATTTCATGTTTACCTTTTAATATGTATTAATACCTATTTTTGTATGCAGTTAATATACATATTGAATTTCCACATTGCCTATCTGCAGAACAGGGTCCAAAGTGCAAGAAAGCTTGATAAGACAACATCCACCTGAGCAAAACTTTAATCTATAACATTTTAGTAAAACAATGTTCAAGTCAATTCTGTAAACGAAAATATTGTAGTACCGAAATGGATGAACGGTTGACCGAATGATGTCTGTTTACAGTCGTCTAAGCCTGATTTATATTGTCGGTTTTCATATTAAGGTTCACGCTGTTTTCCTTCACGTTAGTACACAGCCAAGTGAACCTACGACCAGGTTAAACTGGTGGACGTAGGTTCAAACCTCGCCCGCCTTCATTGCGATTAATTACCTAGAGAAAAGCATTTGATTTAACATACTAGTTCTTAATATAAAGGCCACCACTTTTCTAATTCACACCTCACACCGTCTAAATAATATTGAAAGGACCATTGTTAAATGTGAGGAAGTAATTGTTTATATTTTTTGAAGAAGAAAGAAAAAGACAAAGTACTCGTGTCAGAAGTGAAACTTCTTTGGCAAACTAATTTTTAACTCTTGTTCATATTTATACAAATCTAAAACTTTAGATTTCCGAGACTTGAGAGGGAGGGAAAAAGGAAGATATGACACTCTCTCAATCGGTCTCAATCGCTCTAAATCGCTCTTTAGCTTTCGACAAAAACGCTGCACATCTTCGTGACGTTCCGTAAAAAATTTACCCTCATTCGCCTAATGAAGTTTCACTTCAAAAATTCTTTACAGTCATGGCATATCTGGCAACACAAACGTGCAAGGTGAAGAGGTGAAGAAGCTGGACGTGCTCTCAAATGACCTCTTCATCAACATGCTTATATCATCCTTCACCACCTGCATGCTCGTGTCTGAGGAGAACTCAACTGTTATTGAAGTAAAGTATTTTAACGTTATATTTATCCTAAAATACACCATAAACCAGTAATAAATAAGCTATTTTATTATTTTAAATTCACGTGAATTCGTTATGCCGATTAAACAATTTTGTAAAGGCTTTTATTTAGTGTTATTCATTAAATATATTTTATTTACACAAATACAGTATTTACAATTTTCTTAACCTATAAAGTAATAATAAAAATAATTAAAGAAGAAAGAAGAAAATCAAAACAAATTTAAAAAGTTTGGTCCCTGTGGCAGTGTACCTTTAACGCTGGCAGCATTTCCTCGCTGTATTGCGAGACTTATTCTTTGAGCCAGGAAATTAAATTATTTAAACTATTCAAAATTACAGACTTATATAATTCTTATTTGCACGTCATTTATTCGCAACAGTTATATCAACATAACAAAACACGTAATTTCCTAAATCTGCGACCTCAAATGAAACGGCGCGACTGTTCTCTTTCCCCACAATGTCTAACAAATTAATAAATTTTGCATAAATTGTAATTACGAATTTTTCGTATAACATTATTATATTAAAACAATATAGTTTTAATTATCTACTTGACTTAATGTTATAGCAAATAATCTCTGTATTCGATTAAGAATTAGAAGAATTTTTAGGAGGATGTTGACCTACAGAACATGAAATAACAACAACGTAGGTACTTAATACGTATACCTACAACGACGTCAGAAAAGGGGGTGTGGTTTTATAAATATTAAATTAAACGTAAAAAATATGCAAATATATTTTCGAGCATATTTATTATTCAAGTCAGAGTATATGTAAGCAATATTATTATTCAATACTAAGTGACCCTGACTTAATGGAATAATATGCATACTTAATTTCAAAATTTAAAGATGTTATTGGAATATAAATTTTAAAACAATATAAATAAGAACCTACATTAAATAAGACATTTTTTATCATAAGTTCACGAACTGTAATGATAAAGGTGGAAGATAATTTACAAACAGTCGTCATTGAAGGTATTTATTTGTGTTATGAGTTCTGACGAAATTTAGATAACATTTATTCTGATAGATATTTTTGAACGCTGAATCCTTCACCAAGGATTGGTTTTCTAACGAATCCTAAATGCAAAAACATATAGAAACATATATCACGAAACGCACAACTTTTACGGTGTCACAAGGCTGAGAGCATGAGACAGAACTTTCGTCTATTTTACGAGACTATAAAATAATTAAAAAATAAAATCGGTTATAAAGTCATACTACTGAGCTACGGCGCTGTTAGGTATTAAGATTATAATTCATTGTATTTTACATTTTCAGGTTGAAACAGAAAGGCGAGGAAAATATGTTGTGTGCTTCGATCCACTAGATGGCTCTTCCAATATCGACTGTTTAGTATCTGTCGGCTCTATCTTCGCTATTTACAAGTAAAATTAAGTTTGATTAAAATTTTATTGAAGACGATTCATACCTACTATATAATATATTTGAAACACTTATTGCCAACGTCCATACCACGTTGAATACACCGGTTCTCGTCCGATCACCGAAGTTAAGCAACGTCGGGCGAGGTCAGTACTTGGATGGGTGACCGCCTGGGAACACCTCGTGATGTTGGCTTTTTGCTTTTTTTTGTTTTTCTATTAATTTAATACTGGAATATTTTCATTGGAAATAAATTTAAGACATGTATTTTAGTATATAATTCTAGAAATTCATTTCATATTATTATAGAAAGACATCAGCAGGCGAGCCTACTGAATCAGATGCTCTACGCCCCGGACGGGAGTTAGTTGCGGCAGGCTATGCCCTTTACGGGTCAGCAACCATGTTGGTACTAGCCATAGGAAAGGGCAATGGCGTCAATGGCTTTATGTATGACCCCTCTATAGGAGAATTCATATTAACAGACCCAAATATGAGAATACCGGAGAAGGGGAAGATATATTCTATCAATGAAGGTAATTGAATTATTTAAGTAATTGCAGATAACAACGACAAAAAATTATTTTAAAACAGCAATGGGTTGACGGGCTCTGAAAGCCTTTACTTAGGACAGTTTTTAATTTCAAAATGTATATTAAAATTAATTTTGAACAATGTTAAATAAAAACAATTTTTAGAAAAAATCTGAGCTTCAGTTGCAATTTTATACCGACTTCAAAAATCGAAACAGGAGTTTATTAATTCGATCTAACTTTTCTGTGTATCTTCAAGCATCCAAGGACCGATTTAAATTTTGGCACCGACTTTCAAACAAGAGCCTAATAAGTATGACCCCGTATATACATAATTATCGTTTAAATCATTTAATTGTCTTGCTAAGACAAGACCAATCAATAGAAATAAGAAATACTTTTTCGTCCATTTTGAAAACGGTTACATTTTTAGGTATTGTATTTAAATTTTTTTGTCGCTGATTTAACTAAAGTTTTTTTAATTGAGTTTTGTTACCTATTAAAAACAATTTAATTAACCAAAAACCTTAAGTTATTATTGTCGGAATTGTTTACCTTGTGAAATTTTCCTGGAAAATTGTCCATTAGTGCTCATAAAATTCATATCGGAAGTCCTTAAAACTGTTAAACCGCAATAATATCTGACAAAAATTAATTTCAAGCGTTAATTAATTATTATTTTAGGTTACGCGGCGGAGTGGGCAAGTGGTTTAAAAAAATATATCGAAGACAGGAAAAATCCATCAAGTGGCAAAGCGTATGGAGCCCGATATGTGGGGTCGATGGTTGCTGACGTACATCGGACAATCAAATATGGCGGTATTTTTATGTACCCCGCCACAAATTCAGCGCCAAATGGAAAGGTAAATCTTAAATTCTTTAAATTACATGTCACGTTGTTTGTCCGCTATGGACTCCTAAACTACCGAACCGATTTCAATCAAATTTGCACACCGTCTGCGGTTTGATCTAACTTAAAAGATAGGGTAGTCTACATCTCAATTTATACCCGAAATATTATTTTATTGCAAAATATTTGTTTATTATTTAATAGTCACAATTCTAACAGATGGCGCTGAGTTGAAAGTACCAACGTATCAAATAAGTTACAATTTAATGGCATTACCACCAAAAAAGCATGGTGGTCCCCATGACTGGTGTTCTCCTACCGTTTCCCTTGAATAAGTTACTACTATGTAATATAACAAAAACCTTAGCCACAGCAACGCTTGGCTGGTGTGCTAGTTAGTTTATAAAGAACAAAACATCATCAAAAAAATATTGTCGTATTAATAACAAACAAGTGTAGTTTCAAAGAGAAATCACTAGTAGGGTTCAGATTCTATTATCTCAGGATAAATCATTGAAAAGTTGTATTGTACGTACAAATCAATTTTTTTACTGATATATTTGCCAACGTCCATACCACGTTGAATACACCGGTTCTCGTCCGATCACCGAAGTTAAGCAACGTCGGGCGTGGTCAGTACTTGGATGGGTGACCGCCTGGGAACACCACGTGATGTTGGCTTTTTAAATTTTATTAGACAACCATGTTTTGCAGTAAATATAAAGCAAGATAATTATTAATTATAATTAAATTATTTTTCGTTTAAACTTTTATTTCCAGCTCCGCCTTCTGTATGAATGCAACCCAATGTCGTTTATAGTAACAGAGGCAGGTGGGCTCGCAACAAATGGTCAAATATCAATTCTGGACATACAGCCTTCCTCAATTCATCAGCGAGCACCATGCTACCTCGGCTCCAAAAAAGACATAGAAGAGTTAATGAGCTATTTACAATAAGTTACTATTCATTAATAAAAAGGTTTCACTATACTAGATTTTTATTTTGTTTTTTATAGAATGTAGGATAATATTAATAAAACAACAATAATTGTCCAAAATATAATTCATACCATACTAATCATAAACTATTGTTACAATCGCATCCATATAACAATTACAGTCTTGTATCTATGGTTCTAAATAAGCCACTGTCTATGGTCATTCGTAATCACTGCATAATATTTATAGAATATTTAAATTTTAAACCAATTACTTTTGTGTAATGTTTTCTATAAAGAATGGACTAACTATATATTTCTAAGATAAATGAAAAATTAGTAATTTAAAAATACTGTTTTCTACACTTTTCCTAAAAATTGTGTACAAGGCATGTAATATCAGTCCTCAACCAAATATAATCTGTATTTTGACATGTGACTGGAACGACAGCCCATTCTCCAGTTTCTATATTAGCATAAAAGTTATAGATGAAACCACTGCATTCTAGAGTGAGATAGCATATCGTAAAATCGAAAAGAAAAATAAGGATGTAGATTACATTTCGTGAAAGAAGTCCCGCGGATATTTTTGGAACTAAATTTGACAGGTCGGCAATGTTGTCATTCGTCGATGTTATCAAGTTCGTTTGTTGTGGTAGATTTTTGTGAATTTTTAACTATCTTAGTGCATTTTAAATATTGATTACAATGCCAAAAGTTGTAAAAAGTTCGGCTCGAGAATTGATATTAAAGGTGAAAGAGTTCTGTGAAGCGGAACATAAGAATCAAGGTGTTTTAATACCACTAAACAATGTTCGGAAGAGAGTTGCCGCCATAACAGGTACTTTTTAGAGTTGCCATTTAATATTTTTTTGCTGTATTGATGGGAGTTTTATGATAATATAAATTCGTTTTTACGACAAAATTGAACAAATACATAACGTGATGAAACTAGGTAACTGAAATTAAAACATATATTACATAAGCATTATAAACTTAAAGTTACTATTATTTTTAATTGTTCATAATTTAATTGCAGGTGTGTCAGAGAAAACTGTATCAAGAATTACAAACGAAGGTGTAACAGCGGCGTGTACTTCAAAAAAAATTGTAACCCCGGGGAAGAGTCGCCCGCATCCGAAAAAGTTCGACTTAGACGGGTTCGATTTGTGCGCTATCCGGCAAAAAAATTTACAGTTTTTACGTCGTACATAAAGAATTACCAACATTGGTTAAATTACGGGCAGCTCTGCGAGAGGACATCAATTATCAGGGAAGCATCACAACATTGCACAGGATATTAAATAGAATTGGTTTCAAGTACAAGCGATGTCAATCCAGACGAAAACTACTTATGGAACGCCACGACATTACCGCATGGCGTGCAAGATATTTGAATAAAATACGAATAAATCGCACTGTGGAAAAACGACCAGTTGTATACTTAGATGAGACCTATATACACAATACTTATCATACAAAACGTTGTTGGCAGAGTGAGGAGGAGCCAGGAATGTTCGTCTCAGAGTCATCAGGGAGTCGCTGGATAATCGCTCATGCGGGAACAAAAGATGGATTCATAAATGGTGCATTATTAATGTTCAAATCCCAATCAAAGTCCTCAGATTACCACGATGACATGAACTCAGCAAATTTCTTAAAATGGGTGACGGAAAAACTAATACCTAATCTACCTGAAAGGTCGCTTGTGGTAATGGATAACGCTCCTTACCATTGCACTCAATTAAACAAAGCCCCTTCTATGTCAAATATAAAAGGAGTATGCAAGAGTGGCTCCGGCAAAAGGGTATATATTTTGAAGACACCTGGACAAAAGTTGTGCTGTATGAGCTAATCAAACAAAATAAAGGTCCACCGATATTTGCAGTGGATGAATTATTAACAGCTCACGGACACGAAGTATTAAGGTTGCCGCCTTACCATTGTGACCTCAACCCGATTGAGAATATCTGGAGCCTTGTAAAAGAAAGGTGGCGGATAAGAACGTGGCACAAGATCCAAAAGAAATATTAAAATTAACTAAAGAGGCCTTTGAGTCTATTACGGCTGAAGATTGGACAGCTCAGTGCTCGCATGTCGAACATTTAGAGGAGGAATATTTAAAAAATGACGGCCTTATGGATGTAGTGATGGACCGAATAATTATATCAACTGCTAGTGATACTGAAACAGAATCTGATTCTGTTTCAATACACTCTTCGGACAGTGATGTCCCTATGGCCGTTGATCACAATTATGCAATAAATCTCTGAATAAACTATTGTATTGCTTTTCTTTACCCTATTTTCTTATCTTTTCCCTGTAAGTAGGTAGAACACCGCAATATAAGTAAATAAAAATATACTTTTTACATAACAGATATATTGTTTCATCGAAGTACGCAGAAAATAGTATTATTTGATAAATTACATCTGCTAAATGTAAATAAAATAGGTAAATTTTTTACTCATAAATGGCAACATTACGTCATGCGATTGCAGCGCCGCGTCTGGGGGACTTCTTTCGTGAAAAGGATGTAGATTACATTTCGTGTCTCTATCGCCATCCTTTATTGTTTTTTGCTCTTTATGGAGAATGTATTTATTATCAAATATTCAGACAGAGATCTCTGTAAGTTTAATGTGTAAAGATTGGTATCTAAACAGGAACATTTATCTCACCGTCGGGCATGCATGATGCAGTGGTCACATCTATAGATCACTTTATTTAAGGTATCTATGGTCAAACCGAGATGTATATATTATTATGAATCATTATTTTAATAAATAAGCCACAAACATAAGGCTTACGCAGTAAGCGCGAGGAACTGGTGAAACACATCAAGTATATGCGGATCCAAGTCTTGAGTGAAGAGCAACGTCTCTAATGTACTACTGTACTTTTGAACTTGCTCGTGATGCTGTAAATAATAATATGTCAATACAAAAAATCATGTTTTAAATTCTGGTTTCTCTAATTTTATCGTGCTTAAATTTATAAGTGCTTTATAGGGGCTGTTCAAGTATTACGTAAGCAGATTTACTGCAATTTATCCCCCCCGCCCTGCACTTTTCAGCAAAAGTAAGCAAAGCTCTCAAAAAGAATAGTAATTACGAACTATTTTTTGTAGGAATCCTCGAAAATGCTTTTCGTTTTTAAGGATAGACAATGTGCGGGTAATATGTGTAAATAAGTAAATAATTACTGTTGACGTAATCACTAAATAAGAAAATCAAAGACCCCCCTCCAAACTGTAGTGTTTACGTAATACTTGAACGGCCCCTTACGTTGTTTCGATATAAATATGTAATTTAGAGAAAAAAAAATATTTTTTAACTTGTACCAAGGAAATATTTTTTTGATTCACCAATAGCTTTATTTATTATCGAAAAAAAATTGAATAACCATAGGTAATAGCGGACTTAGGTACTTCGTCCTGTAAAAATATTTAATATAAATAACTCACCAACAAAAACACTTGCGTAAGTCGTCCAACAGTACTTGTATACCAATGGGTGAGTGGATCTCTTGCATCCGTGTCCGCTCTCACGAGATGCTCTGAGAGGATCATTATAAATCGCTGGAACACGATCAGGAATAACCTCTTTTGATCTGTGTGACCCATCTCCAGTCTTTCTTCCATACGTTCCACCGCCTAAAAATATTAAATGCCTCAAAAAGAAATAAGCTTATAAATATTACATAAATTATGTTAAAGACTGATCCAACAACGAGTGAACGAGAAAAGAGTTTTATGATATTAATTTATTGAGTTTTTTATAGTTCCCAAAGGTCAACCGTCTATTATTCACCGAAATTTTCTTAATGAATAATACGAATTGTACATATTATATACATATATATTGTATGTATAATTTTAAAATGACATCGAAACCACTTGAACCGGAGGGATGCTTAGGATTTATTTAAGGCTCAAGAAACAAATGGTAATACTAAAAATCTGTTTAAAATTAAAGACTCACCTCTTCAGTGGGTTTATCTTGATCCTTTTTCTTCTTGCTTCCACTTTCGTCTTCAGAGTCCGAACTGCTTGAATCAGCCCTTGCTAATGCTTCCCTTGCCTCTTGCAGTTCTTTACCTGAAAAGTATTATTACGATTAATCCAAAACGTATCTTTTTTTTTTTATTTTTTTTATGGCTTTTATTTGTGCCAACTACAAGGTACTTCGCCAGTGTCGTGTAGATGGAGAAGGCACTCAGATTGATCAGTGAAAATATTAATTTAAAAATGTTGAAATTCGATTCTTAGTTTTAAGACGTATATTAAGGCGCAAACTTCATTGCACTTTATTAAGAAAAAAATATTTGATGCATCATGAAGGTATATTTGGGATTTTCACCTATCTACCCTCTTCAACGGGTATTCAATGATACAATTAAAAACATATTAGCTTTTGAACTTAGGTATAGTCGAATCACAAAAAATGTATATGAAAAACTGCGCCACTGGCACACTGACACACTTACTCAGTTTAGACACATGTTTGTTCATCTTATCAATCGTCAAATGCAATATCTCCCAAAGACAAGAGTGTATGAAGTGCGGCCCCATTTCCTTTGAGAAGAGCCAAGTGGCCACCGCACTGCACTCCACTATTTGAGTTTTCAGCATTTTGTCAACGAGCACGCAGACCATCTGCGGGTGCTTCTGCCATAGCTCCCAAACATTCCGGAGTACACAAATCTGGGCTTCCTCGGATTCGGCAAGGATCTGTTTAATATGTTCGATTCTTTGAATTATACAAATTTCTATCCTATTTAAAAAAGGCCTATAAAATACAAATGACCAAAAACTACTAAAAGAGTTTTTGTAATTAGTAAATTAAAAAAAAAAACACCAGGCATCGCCAGTTTAATTTCCTTTATAAAAGTAACTATACTATGTGCGGTGTCGCGGGTGACAGTTGCTTAATTTTTCTTTCAATTTGATTTTATTTGTAGACATTCGGCCTGGGTTAAATTTAAGTTACTACAGTTATTAATGATTTAATATATTACAAATGTGGTACAGCTCAAATACTAAGTTAAAATTTGTAAATTGCGGCAACTTTCAAGAGTGAAACGAAAAATTAAGCAACCACCGCACCATGTTATGGCGCACATACTCTAATCAGGCATATTTATTTTCTTCAGTGAAACAGAAATTCATTATCATTTCATAAAAATGTATTAAAAGAATAATAATTAAATATACTGTTCAAGTGTATGCGTTTATTGCACTACACTATTTTCAACTCAATCAAGCCATATTTTTACGTATTTTAATAAAATCTTACCTTAAAAACATAATGAAACTTGGATATCGCAGCAAAACTATGCGAAATACTTTTGCTACCGAGGTTGAGTAGGGTCTGCACAAACACATCTATCTTCAAAGGGTTGTACTGCGACGCGTGGGTTGACGCCGCGTCCCCTTCCCGTAAGGGATTTGGGAGTTCACGGAGGACGTTCAGGGCTTCCTCAGGGGTACACTTGTTTCGAACACATACAACTAGCTGGTGAGCTGCTTCAGTCCCGGGTAGAGAGGCTGGAAGAAGGACACTTTTATTTTTAAAAGGTAACAAAAGATTTTCCTGAGGATGCGACTATTAAAGGTTAAGTTCGTTGGGATAAATATATTACAGTACTCATAGAGCAAATGTATACAATTATAAAAGATTGATAAGATATAAGAACACATAGTATATACACAATTATACCATATTGCAGAAAACCTGAAATCCATTTAAGATAGGCAGATCGTGTTTCACGAACGGAAGTTAATTAAGTGTAACTAAGTTTAATGTAATATTTTTATAGTAAATTTTTGTTTTATATCTATACTGAAAAAATAAAAAAAATAAACATGATACTCTCCTAAAATGTACAATATAATTATCATAGACATGAGATGCAATGTGCAAACCAAACCCTTGTGCAAAGTTTCAATAAGATAAATGTATTTTTTTATAGAACAGGGGGCAAACGAGTTAAGTGATACTGCCGCCCATGAGCACTCTTAATGCCAGAGGCAACGAGAGCGCCGTTGTCGGCCTTTTTAGAATCTGTACGCGCGTGTGGGAGGCGTGATAAAACTGCGTTAAAGTCTCAGTTGTGTTTTACACACTGATCTTGGCGATCTTAAGTCGATTACTATAGATATTACATTTATATATATATAAAGTACTTACTGTTGTACGAGCCAGGGCTGTACATTTTGCTCACTGGCTTTCTTAGTTTTATAAGCGTGGCGATTTCCTAAATCGTCGGAGTTACGCCCTGAGAGTATAGCCAGACGTAGGCACTCTCTTCAACTGTTACATTGCATTCATTCGTTTCATAGAAATATACATTTAATTATTTCGCTTATATTCTAATGTTGTACGGGAGTGGTTAATATAGAGTAAAACTAAACTCGTCTATTATTTAAAACACCCCGATGACCCAGGAACCGTACAATAGTTTTACTATATATATAACTTTATGACATATAGTGTCAACGTACGTTTAATGGTAATTGATAATGAAAACACTCATTAGGGCAATTACAATATCATAGGTAAAAGATGTACTGCTAAATTATGAATATAACCGTTCCGCGTTGTTCGGCTCGCGTCAAAAAAACGGCGAAAAGACCACGAGATGGAAAGTACGCACGCGACGCTTTTCACTCGACGCTCGCGGTTTTCAACGTTATTTCTCAAATATTTAAACTATTCTTAATATTCCTTTTTTATATGATATTTTTTGTCTGTATTTTTAAATGAATAATGAAACTTATCATTCAACTGACTCATAACAGACGTTTCTACACAACTTTTGTCCTTTTGCCATATCACCGAAGTACATATATGAATACCAACCTGGAAGTAAATCTTAATATATATAAATTACGCGTCACGTTGTTTGTCCGCTATAGACTCATAAACTACTTAACCGATTTCAATAAAAAGTGCAGTTTGATCTAACTTAAAAGGTAGGGTAGCTTACATCTTAATTTATAAAATAAAAAATAAATCAGTGTCGTTACAACCTCTTTTAGGTCTTGGCCTCAGATTTCTGAATCTGTTTCATGATCATTTTTTTATCTAATAGGCAAGTAGGTGATCAGCCTCCAGTGCCTGACACACGCCGTCGACTTTTGTGTCTAAGATACGTTTCCTCACGATGTTTTCCTTCACCGTTCGAGCAAATTAATTATAATTAATTATTTATTACATCTTAGTTTATACCCACCCGCAATATTTTTGTATTGTAAATTATTTGTTTATTATTTGACATAAAAGGCCGGCAAAGCACTCGCGAGCCCTCTGGCAATGAGAGTGTCCATGGGCGGCGGTATCACTTACCATCAGGTGAGCCTCCTGCTCGTTTGCCCCCTGTTCTATAAAAATAAAAAAAGTCAGAATTCTAACAGATGGCGTTGTGTTGAAATTACCAACGTTTCACATAACACACAATTTTATGGCATTACCACCAAAAAAGCATGGTGGTCCCCATGACTGGTATTCTCCTACCGTTTCCCTTGAATAGTTTGCTACTATGTAATATAACAAAAAGCTTAGCCACAGCACCGCTTGGCCGATTCTGCTAGTATATTATAAACAGTAATTTTCTAGCTTACAAAGTTCGATAAATGGTATATGTTTTTACTGTTGGCAAGTATGACATTCGATATTTAAATATGTATTACATCCCTTTGCCATAATCAAAATTCACCACAGATCACAATTGTAAAAGTACTGTAGAGTGCTTACTCGTTTTAAGAACAAAGTTATTCGTTAACGAATTAATATAAAAATCCTAATACGTCAACGACCCCCATCTTCCTACAAAGATTTAAACACCATTAAGAAAATTGCACGGAAACGTTTCAACATACGCATTGTATTAGATGTTATCTGGGCATAACAAAGTGCTAATTATGTGCCGAGATCATCACTATCCTATAACATTCTTGAAAAATGCAACTTATAAAACTGAAAGTGACTATTAATTTGAATCCAAGTATTCTGTTCTTGAATTTTCATAGGAGAGTTGGAGTAAGGCTAGGTTCTTGAAGATTTAGAAACGAGAGAATAGGGTTTTGAGCACTTGCAAATATACACGTATGCTTAAAAGTTTGTGCTTTTTATATGTTATAAGTAAATGTACTATTACTATTTAAATTAAGGGCTTATATATTTTCAAATAAGAGGTCAATATGACACACGAAATCTAATTACATATATATATTAATAAAACGGATTTTCTCTAAATACGTAGTTATATGTAGTTTACATATTAAAATTAAATTATTGAATAATATGTTCACTTATTATACTATATTTACCATATTGTTATCTCTTGTTTTTTTATTAAATATTCTTCTGCATTGTGATATCCTTTAACATTTAAATGACTGTTCTCCTAGACGATTTTAGTCATACTACGCAATCAACAATCACTATATGTCGTATGACATTAATTAAAAAAAAACTAAGCCGATATCAATCAAATACCATCTCTAATGAATGTTAAATAAAACCATCTATATTCTATCTTACTTCATAAGAGTGAAAATCAAAATAATGCGTCCCGTCACCAAATTGATAAAAAAGGACAGATTATAAATACAAATACATATCCAACACGCGGGCGTGCTTACAAAGCGTGTCAAAAGAATTGCTTTTAGACTTACTGTAATTCAGTAGCTTTACCGTAAGTGTTTTTCAAAGGTATATTTTATGGCTGTCTGATTGGGCATGTTATATACATACAAGAAAACATATACTTCATTTCAAGCCTATTACAGCTCTTCAAACATGAAAATAACAAATTAAGAATTGTCTGAATTTGTACTACTGTTTTCGCAGAATCTACTGTAAATTAACGTTTGCAGCGCTGTAGATTTGCTTTCGCGTTCTGGAGCACTGAAGAGGGGTGATGTTATGCTTTTCGCGCCAGTCCGCTATAGGGTGCGACCGCTGCGCACGCGCAGAAAAAATCACCAGTGGCAAAGCGAATCCAATCGTGCAGTGAATCAGTGATTAAAGATGCGGTCCGCGTTGCTTTGCGTTTTCTTTACACTAATTGTAAGTATAATTTTACCGCTTTCCACACATATTTCAAGAGATATTTTATTTCGGATTTCTTTGTGAAGCGATTTATTTATACGATAATTACGTTTATTTACTTACATACAAGAAAAACAGTGGCTCTGTAGCCTTTTTGATCTGAATCTTAGATTTTTGCATGGGTTTGGTCATCATTTGATTTTTTCTAATAGGCAAATAGCCTTCTCTGTCTGACACATCTACTTTTAAGTCTGAGGCATTCCGGTTTCATCACAGTATTAAATAGAAATAAACTCCATTGGTGCACAGCCGGGGATCGTACCTACGAGCTCAAGGATGAGAGTCGCACGCTGAAGCCACTAGGCCAACACTGCTCTTACATACATAGATATATAAATATTTTTATCAATAGGAATTAGTTTATCTGGTCTAGGTATTCCTATTGAATATCTTCTTGGTAGTTATTATATGAATTGCCTCTATAATAATAATAACAGTCTTTGTTGCTGTAATTACTTAGGGAGCGTTCAAGTATTACGTAACGCAATTTTTGGAGATTATTGGACCCCCGCCCCCCCCTCATGAACTCGCCGTAACGTTTTTCAGTACCCAAGTCTAGTAAAACGTTTCGTGACCACCTAGTGACTGTTTAGTTACTATTATGTGGTGTAAGTAGAAAATAATAATAACAATAACGCGTAATTCAATCCCCGCCCCGCATCGTCACGTTTTACAAAAGGACAAAAAAATTCGTAATACTTGAACGCTCCCTTATACTAACTAGTACATAAAAATGTGAAATACTAAAATTGCATTTAGAATTGCCTCGAATACGAAACAAATTTGCCAAAATAATTCATTCGATACTATCCCGCTTAATACGATACAGTAGTTATTGCCTAGTAGACCTATAACATCATTCCCTGAAATCTCTTTCTTGTTTAAGACGCTTTTTGTTTGAGTTCCTATGAAAACAGAATTTCTTTATACCTAACATGAACCAGTTAGACGTTCTTATTACAACATACGTTATCACCATAGATCTCGATAAAAAGTAAAATAATAGCAAATCACACGGCAATGCTCAATGGTGTATGCAAAAAGATAAGGCGGTGACCTCCACCGGTATTGTTAAAAATTCCCACGATATATGGAGCAATATTTATTATCTACAGGTACATCACTAGTTTTTCTTTTAAGAATTATAAATGTATGAAATTAATAAGCAAAATCTTACCTTAGTACAAAATTTTAAACACAATTTTAAACGATTTATGTCATAACATTGATTAAATAGTATACAAACATAGCTAAATTAGGAAATATGCATTAAAAGACATTCATATTCTATAAGAAACCGGCACCATTTAAAATGTTTTAATTTTTCGGCCTATTTCTCCACTGCAGTGTCCAGTTACATCCATAATAGATTAACAATATAGCATCTTTTATCGCTACATAATATTACGCCAAGGACTACCTCGTGTAGTATTTGCATTCAAGATAAAAAAAATTGGAATAATACTATCATAACTCCAGAAATCAATTTATATACATTTGTGATTGGAAACTAGCCAGGGTTGTATCTTAGTGCACGCAACACTTGCACGCCATCCGACGTGCACTTTCCCAACTACATTTTACTTTCAAACGCATCCATGTTCTTACCGAACGATAAATAATAATTAACGAATAATTTATGCGAGTACGGTGTAATTTAAATACAATTAACATTCACTAACATTTTTTCAGATACACAAAGACGGAAGCCTAGTGCGAGGCGATGACTTTAGACCGACACCGATACCCCTAGACGAGTGGCACCCCACCCCACGAGGTGAATCGGCTGGGACACTGCATGAAATAATAAAAACAGAGTCACCACCCTCCGTAGCTGCTGTACCAGCTCATTACTGGGAGGATGCATTAAGACACAGCGTATATCTCACATTAGTAAGAGACAAAATTGATCAACTCATCGCCCAAGGCGATGTCATTGCACCCAATAGCAAACTTGACCAACCTATATCAAAAGAAATTGACGACCACGACTTATGGGAGAAAATAAAGAAAGCCCCCTTCGATAGACGACTATCCGATGAGGCTAATCCTTTAGGAGACGTTGCCATAATGGCGAAGGGTCGGCTTCTTGAAAATGAAGAAGGATTCCGGTTCACCGAAGACGATAAATCGCAAGATAATTGTAGTGAGGAAAGATGCGCTGAAGGTGTGAAAGCATTTTGGTCCGTTAAACGTGTCCGCCAAAGAGACCAAGAAACTTCTTCTGGTAAATATCACTATGAGTTAACGTTCTCGGTTGTATCCCAAATTCCGAAGAAGCAACCAAAGCCATATGAAAACCCAATAAGGACATTTACTGTTCGAGAAACCTCTCCATCGACAGTTGATTTTCCACAAGAACAGAGAAAACATGAACCATTTCAAACGGCAAGACCTCAAAGAGCAATTTGGTTTCATAAAAACATAGTGCCAATTCCACCACACACTAGACGACAGCCTTACAGAGGCCTAGATAGAATATTTTCATCAATATTCTCTAATGACGATGATTCTTCATACGACAAACCACAACCCAAATTCAGAAGTAATTCCGCTTCTTTTCCAACGTATCAATTTTCAAAGAGTGGTCACGGAGGGCTCTCCGTAGACCATCATCAGCAATCAAAGCCAATTCCTTATCCCTATAAACAGGCCCAACCGTACAAATATATGCGGCCACCACTTCAGGCTCCACCAGCAGGGCCCTTACAACATCATTATCTTGACTATGAGTCAAGCCCCATTATAAATGGAAATCCTTATCCCCCTCATGATTCCCGAATTTCCCCCACTCAAGCTGTGAAAACGACGAGACCTGCTATTTTACCTACACCCGTACCGTTAACCCCACCCCTAAAAGAACAAACATTTGATTTAGGAACTCCAATGTTTATCGATAGTGCGGAAAGCTCAAATAATATAACGAGATATGAGATAAATAATTCTTTTAAAAATCCTACTAAACTTAAACCAACCTTACCTAAAGGAAACTACTTTCCAGAACATATTAGACCACCAGTGTATAATGCTCCTCCTGGAGTGTTTGTAACAATGGACAAAAAACCTTTTAAACCCTTGCCACCTTTGAAGCACGGTCATAATTCAAAACCACATAGAGTCAACAAACCTGCTGACTTTAGACCGAGTCCACAAGTTCACGATTCACAATCCCCAAACTCGGATCCATTATTTGAATCAGCATTTAGACCCATAACTGTAAATTACGCCGACAGTAGTACGACAGAAACAGTAGATATGATTCAAGTGAAAAAGGGTAACAACAAACACCGAAAAACCAGCTCTAATTCTAAGAAACCAACGAAGAAGCACCACAACGTTAAGACGACGAGACCCGTAACTACGGCAACTCCAGACATTATAACAGCTCAAAGTATACCAGACGAAAATGAAGATACTTTAGACTGGGCTAACGTTTTGGGAGCTTTTACAAAAACCACACCTATGGTCCTTCAAACGGAAAAGCTAATGCCTGTTGAAACCACAACAAGTTTCTTGGTTAATAGCAGTACAACACTACTTTGGCAAAAGCCTACTACTGTTACAGAGGCACCTTCAGAAACAACAACACCAACAACAACCGCGTTTACAACAATAAGACCTAAGAAACGCACCCGTCCGCCACCAAAATTTACTAAACAAGATAAATTTAAAAAACACAAAAGGATTACTACTATTTCAACAACCGAAACCACTGAGCACCCAGAGAAAACGATCATAAGAAAGCTGTCCACTGAAGCAACACCTGTTAGCACTACAACAAGGAGTATTTATAAATCATTCTGGGATTCTAAAAATAAAACGCATGCAACATCTGCAACTACGACAACCACCTCAACAGCTCGACCAACCACCACAAAAATAGTAACTTCAACAAAACAGGCCAGCACAACACCATATACAACGACAATTGCCCCTAGAGAAACGTCTACGACGCCTAAACCAGAAGTAAAACAACCTTCCACACATGTACCGAGAAATACCAATCGTTTTAGGCAATCAACATTATTTTATAAGGGAACCTCTGTCAAACACGACAAATGGTCTTTTAGAAACAATAGTTCACACCCTCAAAACTATAGAAGGACGTCTAATTTCCAAGGTTACGTTACATCTACCACACATGCTACGACACTAAGAGATCATCAACTCACACAAGGCAACACCAGTGACCTAAATACTAACAGTACAACTGAGATAATCAGTAGTAGCAATTCAACAGAAAAATTAGAAAGTAACAGCATATTGCCTTCGGTGAAACCTGAAGATAATGAAACAGAAAATAGCCAAGAAGAGTCAGAGTATATCTTTGAACATTCCACTACTGCCACTGACACAAGCAATGAGGTATTAGGTATTAGTTCAACAATTGAAAGTATACCAGCACAATTTGAGTCCTCAAAGAACAAAACTAAATGTAAAAAGAAGAAATTGACAACTACAACTATAGAAACCCTCACCGAAAGCTATCCTGAACAGTCAACACCTAAAACTACCACAGAAGACTCAACTGATGATATTTTTGAACAACTTTTCGGATTTAATTTCAACTCAGAGACAAGTACCCCAAAGGAAATATCTACACTAGAATTATTAGAAGGAGAAAGTTCACATCATGCAAGTTTTTTGAAAGCGGATGACGACCTGACTGATTTTATGGCTGAATTCAATAAGAAGCACAAACATACAAGTCCGACAACTGCGAATGATTATGAAGAAGAGGACGAAGACGAAGATGAAGATGATGATTATGACGATGATGATGACGTTCAGCCAAATAGTGATAACGATTCCAGTGAAGATGAGAATGAAGACGCTCAAATGGACAATGAGGCAGACAAAGAATCCAGTAGGGATTCGCGGTACGAAACCTATGACTTAGGCCGGCCCTACAGTTTTCTAGAGTTAATGGCTATGGAATAAACTGAACAACTCAATATTATTTTAATGCATGATAAAAACTTGCAGTCAACTAAAAACAGTCCAGAGCATTTAAATATTCTGTTCACAAAACATAATTAAAAGCTGTTTTCATTATAGTTGTTGTAGTAATATTTGTAAATATATCATAGTAAGATTAGCGTAATAAGTTATCTTATATATATCGAAGAGTAAATTATTTTAAATGAATTATCTGTTTTTCTTACCTGCTCCTTCCATAGAGTATTTATATATAGGTTCTGCTTTTAAAGGTACAAATGCAGCCAATGTTTCTGGTACCATGTCTTTTATTCTTTGATGGTATGACAACCTGAAATATACACAAATAAATAATAATAATTTTGGAATTAATGAGAGTTAATTTCTCTTGCATACGCTATAAGAAAATGGGGGTTCAGTTCCCAGATGGACCACAGATCATAAATAATTTTGTTATGTGTCCTCCCCTTATCCTCTTACATGCCATGTGTTACAGTAAAAATTTCTATGGCAACTCAGTACAATTAGAAGTATCCATTGATTGTACTCTGTTAGGTGACAGATATATGTTGGATATCAAAATTATTGTAATTACACCCAACCTTTCAAAGAGATGGTTGTAAGCTTACCCACATTGTTTGAAAGTTAGTTAAGAAATAAATTCAATTACCTTTGACATTTGCTAAGCACCTCTTTGATAAAGCGTGGTTTGGGATGTTCAGGATCAAGCTGTGCACACCCCTCCCAATCATCCCAGGACCATCTGTACTGGAAGTTACTCAAGTGATATGAGAACCAATTGACCAACCTTAAATATACAAACAAAAAGATATGATAGTAAAATATAACAAATATAAAAATGAATATAATAATGTTTCATCAAATTATGTAAAATCTAGAAATTATGTTTTGATTTTTTTTTTAATAATAGTGCATAACGAATGCACTTTAGTTAAATACACTATTTTCAAGTTTAGTTATAATTCTAAAGTAAAAAATATTATATAATAGTATATTACCTATCAAAACAGGCAACATTCATGCTATCAATCCTCATGAAGAGTATCTCTGTAGCTTGAGCGAGTACCTGTGGCATTGTTGCTGGCTGAAGTTTACACAGTTCAATTAAAATTGACCCATAACAAATCTCTAAATATCTTGGCCTTGGTAAATTAAATAACTCTGCAAATATTATTTCAACAATGCAGTACTCCAACGGTATCTTGGCTTTGTATGGAAAGCAAAGTAACTGAGCAGCACATTCTTTCCTTTCCAGGTGGTAGGCTTCAATAATATTGTGCAAGTGTTCCTCAATTAGAAAACGTTCAATAGAATGCACTCCTGGTAATACTGGTCCATCTGGACAGTCAGTGTAATCAAACATGCGAAATATCACACGGGGCATGGGATATGTGTCTCCATCATTGTGCAGAGGAGGCTAGAATATTAATTGTAAGATTTAAAAAACCAAAGTAAATTATAAATATTAAGTATAACTAAAGTACAATACCTAAAGCAATAAGATATTTGTATGTACAGTGTAAAGTCTTTATAATGTCATTCTCTATAACGTAAAAATCATTACATTTGTTTGGTTAAACACAAACCCCATACTCACTCTTTATAATGCAACAGCCACTCTCTATAACGAAGAAATGTATCTAATTGGTTAAATTAGGATTTTTCTCTCTATAATGAAAAAAAAATGATTGGTCCCTTGAAATTCCTAATAAAGAGTTTACACTGTATATCTAATTTTTAGTTGTAAATGTTAAATAAATTATGTTTTTCACTATGACATTATTTCAAACTTCAATGGTCTAAAAAATGTAAGTTAACACCTTACCTGAATAGCAGGAAGAGTATGCTGTAATGCCTCACACAGGATGGAGTCAAAAGCAAGGTATGGTCTTGGAATATGTTTCTCTGACCAATTATCTTGCCTCAACTTTTTAATTTGAGCCCATAAACAATCTAAATATTCTTCTTGTAAGTGTGGTGTGTCTACTGACCATACTTTAAGAGCTGGCCAGTGTTTCTTACTACGTTTGTTTAAAAAGACTTCTATTGTAACAAGCAGATGGTCAAGCTGCGACTCTTTTTTTTCATATAACTCCCTTCCTACCCATGGCAATGTAGCTAGGACTGCAAACACAAACCAATCTCTTCTGACTTGTGGCACTGAATCATCATTTGCACAATCAACTAATGTCTCCAACAAGGTAAGTAATGATGAAGCAGCCAACACATGACAGTTTACTAAATCTGATATAAATCTCAAACAATATCTGGCTGCATTCCATTTTCCACACTTTAAATTTTCTTTAAAAGTTTTCACAATATAATCAACAAATTCACCACCGAAATTATAATTTTTAGCATTAAGCAGACCAACAAGTGTAGCATAAATAGTACATTTTTCGGGCATTCGGATTGCACATTCTGTGAGAATGCGCAATATCTTAACTCTAAAGGTGCTTAGGTCAGCTTCCAACACACTAGCTAAACCTTCAAGATTACTTTCCAAACTTGAACTACTCTTTTCCCCAACTCGAAGAATCAGCGACTCAAGTCGATCTTCAATCTCTTGATTTTCTGAAACTCGACGGCGTTTTCTATGAAGACGTTCTGAAATAAAGAAATACATAGGATTAGGTCACCACATTAGTAAAGGAACAGTTTTATAACCTAAAATAAAGAATATATTCGTGGCAAACTACCATATCCATCTTCTTCTTCGTGTGGTCTACGCCGATTCATAACGGCCCTCTTTTTCCTTTAAATCACACAACTTGTAAGCAATAACTTGATGTTTTCACAGCTTAAAGCATCTATGGTTTAAACTCTTTAAAGCAAATAGGACACAGGTTTACAAATTGCAAAATCAAAATAATGCACAAACTAACGACTAACGAGTAATGAGAATTGAGATATGAGCACAGACATATGACTTATGAGCACATTCAGATAATGACTGATCGATTTAATTTTTTTCATATAACCACAGATACAAATTTAGTGTTAACATCTCGTATTGAGATAATTTTTATTCTGTTATTTTAGTTAAAGATTGTAAATAGTAACATTGGTTCAGGAAAAAGACGGAAGTATTTGATTAGGAACTTTTTTGTACTTTGTTCATTGTTGATATTTGATGTTGTTGTCTTTAAAATGATAATCTATCAAAGAAATTAAATTTAAAACATGTTTAATAGTAATTCAAGTTAATTGAGTGAATACAAGAAATTTTCAGAATTATATTATGTTAAGTTTGCCATAATTAACTGTTTGTAATGTTTGAAAACACTTTATCAATCTTACCAAAACCTGTTAGAATACAATATGAAACTTTGATAGCACCCCTAAATAGGAACATTAAGCACAATGTTCAGGAAGGAGGTATCCAAACGAGGTGTGTAGATATTTGACCGTCCCTAGGCGTCTTTTAACTAATCTCTAAGAATTTTTATTTAAAGAAAGATGATTAATAATATACTTTTTTCAGGCCATCACAAAGCAATGGATTGTGGTGCCAATTTTTACTGCCGTCGGTACTCTGCATGTACTTTATCTTGGAAGAGGTGACACTATTATACAAGATTAGTACTTTTCTCTCTTTGGGCTTGTTGTCTTACTGCTCTCTATTTATTCTTTTTCTATCTCTGTCAAGTCTTGTTGTTAAAGAGCCAGTGTATGGGGGATGCTTAGCTTCAAGTCTTATATCTACATTACTTCTATATAGTGTATTGAAACAGAGTAAGTATGATTAATAACATGTTTAAAAGAATTTAAATTAAATAGATAACAAAATTATACTACTAGATACATTAAATTAGATTTATTCTGTTGTGCCTGTCTTTAAATTTTTTTACTCAAATTTGCTAACCAAGAATTTGAAACAAGGAAATATAATTTTTACAAGAAATATAAACATTAATTTCTCCCAAAATAAAAGAAAGAGTTTATTTGCAAGAAATTTATATTTATTTCTTGTTAATATAATTTTCTCAAATATTTTTTCAGATCTGTTGTTTTCCTTTATGGTTTCATCAGCAACTGTTCTATCATTTGTTTGGTTCCTCCGTTATTCCTTGATCAAGCTGCCAAAAACATTTACAATAGGGGAAAGCATTATAGCAAACCAGAGTGTAACACTGTTCTCAGTTATATCTATTCTCTCTTCAAATTGGATGCTGAAGTCTTCAGAAAGAGATGAAGATACATTTTTTATTTATGCTATTGTCTTTGTAAGTTGTTTCATATATAACATAAAATGAAATTGTTTGTTTATTAGATCTTTCAAACCATTTTTTTTCTATTTGAAGTATCGCATATTTGACAGTGCTTATATAAAGATATTTATTGAAATATGGGCCAATTTGTAACAATTTAATGAACAAGATAAAGTTTCCAAAGATAGAAGCCTAAATATACAACTACAGATCTAGTCAGTAGTTCAAATGCCCTTAAACTTCTAAAAATTATGTTTGTTTTTTTAAAGACTTTCTAAATTTTTATATACCCCAATTAATTTTCCAAAATATTGTTACAGACAGTTTTTATGGCAGTAGGATTAATGATTGTGGCCTTATATTCCCTAAATGACACTCTGCAGAATATGAGATCTTTGATACAAATCATAGCAACAGGAGCTACATTTGTGTTGATTACACTACACTTTATCATCGGTGTGGATTTTGTAAATAAAATTGTGAAATTTATATTTTTCACAGGATATAGAGTAAGTTGAGAACAAAGTTTTTTGAAAAAATATTCTTTGGTTTCACATAAACGTTTCTGGATTATAATATAGTCCCTTGGTCTGCATTATATTGTTGGTTTGTCTACTTCTAAAAAAAACAACATCATGCGGTGTTTCCAGTCCGTTATCCATCCAAGTACTGACCATGTCCAACGTTGTTTAAATTCGATGATCAGACGAGAACCGGGGTATTCAGCGTGGTATGGACGTTGGCAATGTATAGCTTTAATAAGTCAATTATATCGTGTAAAATTAGAAACACTGCCTTAAATTATATTAATTAATCTTTATATATATAAAATCCTCGTGTCACAATGTTCGTTTCCATACTCCTCCGAAACGGCTCGACCGATTCTTATGAATTTTTCTAGGCATATTCATTAAGTCTGAGAATCGGCTACTATCAATCTTTCAAATCCCCTAAGTGATAAGGGGTGTCCACCTCGAAATATATTTTTTAATTTTTAGACAATTTTTATGATACATCATTCATAAATACATATAACCCCTCATTTTCACCTCTCTACAATCAGCCCTTATTTTTTATTTGTATATTAAAACTATTGACATGAACTCTGAGGTAGGTATACATAGAGAAAAATTCACTGAACCACTTAAAAAAATTCCTTCCGGAAAACCGAACAGTCAGCATAGCCAAATGTTGGTATGTACTAAAAAGGAAGGCTAAGTAAAAATTACATTAAGAAGAAACGAACTTCGCGGGGACAGCTTGTATAATATATAATTCACACCTAAATAGTTTTGTCTTAGCTGCTTTAGTTATTTAAAATATATTTATTTTTTTCTTTCAGAAAGAAATAGTTACCTTCTGGCTGTTATTAGTTGGTCTATCAATAAGCGCTTTGTCAATGCGTACGAAATTGGCAATAAAAGCGACTACGGTGACAAGGAAGACTTTTCATGTACTAGCATCTCTGGTATTCCTGTCCGGGATTCTCTTTGATATTCAGTTGATGCTTTTAGCTGCTGGAATAGGACTTGGAGCTATTATTTTTGTTGAAGTAAGTTTTCTTGCCAGTGGATATTATAATAAAAAACTAATAGTCGCCGCGATTAGCCGTAGTCATGAATGTTAAGAACAGTTGGTCAATTATTTTTATAATACTTTTTTGCACTTATAAACTGCAAATGCAACTTGTGATAGAGACTTTGGCATTGAATAGGAAATAGTACCAATACTTTTGAAATCTGTAATACCGTGTGCGCAAAATTTATTGTATAAAGTATAATTTCTGTATGTAGAAAATGATGAGATGAGACATGGAAGCTAATTTATGTTAAAATATTAAAAATTAATGTGCTTTTGTAAAATTTTAAGGAAACTTATACATAGGTACAGATTTTACTTGTTTTTCTTCTATTTACAGGCATTAAGAAAAAGTAAAATAGAACCAGTTACATCTGCATTACAGGCTGCTTTCCTTACATATAGTGATGAAAAGGTAATTTATATTGGTTTATATCATTCATTAAAATTTAAAAGATCTAATTTCAAGTAACAGTAGTATTTGTTAAATCAAGTTGATCTGCTTTTTGACGATTGTTATCGCCAACGTCCATACCACGTTGAATACACCGGTTCTCGTCCGATCACCGAAGTTAAGCAACGTCGGGCGAGGTCAGTACTTGGATGGGTGACCGCCTGGGAACACCTCGTGATGTTGGCTTTTTAATTTTTTAAACTGTTTTTCAGGATTGCGGCACTTTTGCTATGACACCTTTATATTTATACGTCGGATTAGCGTGTCCCTTAATATTGGTGCCGTCGTACAGCGATGATCATAAACTCGAGCTTCTAAGTGGAGTGTTGTCGATTGGAATTGGAGACACAGCAGCCAGTTGGTTCGGTTCTCGGTTTGGTTTCAATAAGTGGTCAGGTACGTATTACATTTGTCTATATTGTACTTTTTGTAACCATTTACACTAAGGTTTTTTTTTTGTGAATTAATATTTGTATTTTTATTCATCCTTTAACATCACAACCGATTCGATAAGTTCTTCAAAAATCCTTAAAAATATTATTTTTATGCTACTACTTAGACTCCTGACTGATTTTGAAAATTATTGTTTCAAATTATAATGAAAACTTAAAAAGTCAGAACTTGAACCTGTACCATAAATTTGACCAGTATTTAAATGGAGTAGAGCATGGGTGGACCAAATGCTTTTCATACAAATATTTTACAACACAGAAATATTTTTTATAAGATAGAGTCAACTCTATGTTATTGTGACAAGACAATTGTGTTGTCTGTGCATTTGGAAGTCAGACAAATAGTATTAATTTTTTTAGAAATAATAACAAGTAAGCCAAAATGTTTGCTATGTGTGTATTGTTTACACACATTTAATCACCACATGTTTACAGCTTTAGTTATATTTTGTTTGTTACTTTACTATATAATATATAGTCTTCTCTATAATGCTGAATAATTCCTATTTATGATGGAAAGAGGCCTGTTACCTCATCACTTACATAGTTTTATAGAAACCAGCCTCTAATAAAGATGTACATAAACTTGTATGAATGAAAAATTGTGCAGAGGCAATAACTTAATTTTATTATGTTTTTTTTTCAGACAGTAACAGAACAATGGAAGGGACCGCATTTAATATTTTATCCCAAATAGCAACTGTTTACACTCTTATTATATTTGGTAAGTGTTAAGATCAACCTTAGACGTTTTGTAAAATATAATAGCCTGGCGGCCCGTCCCGGCTTCGCACGGGTTGACATTTATTTTTTGTAGATGTGATTGATATGTTCTTTAATAGTGTGGAAAAAAAATATTGTTCTATCATCAATAGTTTTCGCAGCGCGTGCGATTTATTGTATTTTTAGTAAGGACCTATTATTAAGGTTATTTTTTTCTTGCAATTAAAATAGCCTATATTAATCAGTGATAGTGTAGCATTCAAATTGTGAAAGAAGTTTTAAAATCGGTCCAGTATTTTGAGCAAATTCATTACAAACATACTTACATACAAATCTTTCCTCTTTATAATATTAGTATAGATATATTAGTTTTTAAAAGCTATAATAGTTTTTTGCTTTAGCTATAAAAGTACTTGCAATTTACATATATATACAGGGTGGTCAAAAAGCCGTGGATCAAACGCAACTAGGGGATAGACTAGATAGCTAGGTCATCAGCTGCAAAAAATTGTTCAACACACACAAAAACCAAAAACGGAATACACATTTAAACATACACAACGCACAGTTTCACCTATACAAATACAAAAAATATATGTATTTATAATAAATTCTAAGTTCTAAGATTCATTGTTCATCATAATATATATTTATATAAAGGAAGAATAACAAAGCAATTAATAAAAGATACCAGAGTTTTTCAAAGTATTTTTTAGTTACATTAAATATATCAAATCATAAAAATCTATTTGCTGGTAATTTGTGTTATAATCTGAAGGTATACGATACATGACTGAGTTACGTAAATAGTTTGTACTATTAGATCAGTTAAGGAAGTTTTATTTATGTACTCGTGTTTTTACAGAGTTGATCAATCCTAAGAATGCTCTAGCACGCACTACGTTTGTGGCCACCGTAACGAGCCTAGTGGAAGCCCAAACTGACCAAGTTGATAACCTTGTTCTGCCTTTAGTCAGTATTGCCGCCTTTCAAATAACACGATTCGTTTTATAACAGACAAAATGGAGTGTCTTCGTAGTTTACCTGGAAATTATCAAGCAGGAAATAATACGAGCAAAATCAATAGTAGACAAATTAAAACTTTTTTTGTCGGAATAAAATTCCTTTTAACATGTTTAATGACAATGGATAAACAATAAAGCAATTTCACTGAATGTGCCAAAATTTTTACTGAACCAAAGTATTTTCTTGCCCCTGGAAATGAATAAACCAACTGAGCTGACAGTATGTGCCATGAGCATTATTTATATGTGGTGGGAAGTCAGTTTTTTCTTTTTGGGTTTTTCTATTTACTCCCTGCCGTAATGCCCAGGATCTTTTTTTTGTGTGTGTACAGATTTATTAAATGGTAAATACATATTCATTGCTGTTGCGGGTCTCGCGAGCCAATACGTCCCGGCTACGTCGGTAATATTTATAATATTCATGGGTGAGCAGGGACGCAATCGCGCACGTTAATTATTGTTTGCCTCTTTTGATTTTACATATTTGATTATTTTATCGCAGAACCTTTCCAGGCACGGTCTGTGCTTTTTAAGTATGTCCTGTAGGCTTTCCTTTCCTTTATGGTCTACCTGTGTTTAATAATAACTTTGAAATTGCGAAGATAGAGCAATGGGTAACCAGATGTTCCACTATTTGGTCGCCAGTATAACAAATACATTGTGGATTTGTCTCGTGAGAATTTGCGCCGTCTGAGTTGTGAAACGCTTCTCTGCAGTAATTTGTATGCAGTTTCGTTAAAGAATATTTTGGTTGTTGCAGCCGTTTCACCCCCCAGGTAGCGCCCATTCCACAAGTGTAATGTCTTTTGTCTTATTTGGCGTTTTATATATGACAAGGATATGCACCATATTCAGTTATAATTTTTAGCCTTCCCGCCGCTTCTTCCGCCCTCACGTGCAAAATCCCGCCCTCACGCCAGGCGTGCTAACATGCGCTTTCCCCAGCCTACGCTTTTCCGCTTGCTTATGTTCATCGCAAGGACGTATATCTACGACCTTTTGCCTTCTGCATGCTGCACGCTGTGTCACATAGTATCAATGGTTCCTCTCCTTATAACATCAAATGTTGGTTGCTCCATCAGCAGGCCAAGAGTCTTCTCTTCTATCGTCTATTTCTGGGCTTCCCCACAACAGACTTTGTGTTCTCATTACACCTTAGGTCTATTTTACTTTTGAGCTCATTAGTTGTTGTTTCCAGGGGCTTTAAATAAGCCTCCAACGGCTGAAAATAAGTTCTATGCCTAAATGTAGTTTAAGTTAAAGAGATTTTTTATATGATTAATTTGAGATTTTATAGCTTATAAGATAGAAAGTTATTATACAGTTTGTAATTTTAATGTGACTGATTCATGACATTTTAAACATTCCTAATATACCAAAGTGATATGTATATTTTAGTAAATAAAAAATATTTTTTTCATTATGTTGTATTTAATAAAAAACAATACATTAGATAGAATCATTCATTTACAACTATTTTATTTCAGATTTAATTTCATCCTTAATTTCTAATTTAATAATTTTTACCTTGTCCTCTAAAATACCATCTATTTTATTTTTGATAAGAATTCGTTTTTTCTTAACCCCTTTACATTTAGCTTTATATATTTTTTCTAGAGCAATTATGTCTTTTCTATTTATAGTCCAGTCAATTATGGAATGTTCTGCTAATTTTATGAAATTGTCTTGTTCATTATAAGTGGGGATAGCAATATTCAAGATCTTCATAACACTCTCTAAAACTTCATCTACATAGTAATTAATCACTAAATCAGCTTTGTTATCCTGAAAAATATTACATATAAAGTATAAGAATGTATATACTAAGGAAAAGTAAAATCCAAAACAATTCTAACAGACTGCTCCTTCCAGTGAAGTAGAATGAAAAAACACTTGTTTTGAAATTCATTAAATATTGTTCAATTTTAAAATAAATATACTCAAAAATTCTTGTTGTTACATAAAACAATGTTTTTACCAGTTGTACTATATTTTCTATGGAAGGAACAACTTGGAAGTGTTAAGCTTAAAATGCAGTACACAATACTTACATGTTTTGTTGGCTGTAGGTTGCAAATAACTAGCTTTCCTCCATACTTCACAGTCTCTAATGGCAAATTACCACTGGGAACAATTTGTAGTGTTGTACCCAAACAAATGCTTAAATCTGCAATGCTGTGAAAGGATTTAAATGTACTACTAATCTTTAAAAAATAACTTTTCTCTGTCTTGCTTGGTAATTTAAGTTACCTTGAGTGCAACTCTGCAGCTAAGAGATCATTTTCAGGTAAACTGTGCTCCCAGTCTAACACAGCATCATACAAGCGTCCACGACAAGACCGACCCCCTATATGTACTGCCCCACAGGGTACACCACTACATTTCTTGCCTACAGTTTCCACTGGGGTATTACGAACATACTGCCTGTAATTCAAAGAGAAGTTTTCATGATTATCTATATTATGAATAGTATGTGAGACCTAGTCAATTGAAGTTTAAGTGTTAATATGTTATTCAGAAATTATTATAAACATATATAAGATGCAATTAAATATTAACAAAAGTTATTATATATTTATTTGTTCATAAAATACAACAATAAATAATATGTTCTTATATTCACCTCTTACACAGATTACACTCATCCACAAACATATTTCCATGAAGTTCAGCCAAATATTTCCTGGATAACCCTGACTTTAAATGCAAGCCATCTATGTTTTGACTAATAACATACTGTATTATATTACTTTCAACTAATTTCTTCAATATCATGTGGGTCTTAGTTGGTTTAGCATCAGAAAATGATACATTAATATTGGGTCTCTTTCCTTCTCTCTCAAGAGTCCAAACACCATTTGGGCCCCTAAAATATTTAAAATTGAAAATGCCATGACAGACCAAATGTTTAAAATTGAATAAAAACTAATCTACCTGAAATCAGGTATCCCTGCTGATGTACTGATCCCAGCTCCTGTGTGAATAACTATATGTTTACTATCCTTTATTAAATCAGCTAATATCTGACTTTTTTCTCTCAACTTTTCAGCAGAGTCAAATTTCTGGAATTTTACATTTACTAAATATTAAGATCGTTTATTATTTGCTATTAGATATCTTATAAATAAAAAGGAGATTTTTTATTACGTTGATAAATTGAATACATAACTAGTAAAATTGGAGAAGAAAACTGGAACCATACCTCTGGAACGCCAAGTATTCCTTTGTCATCATATGGTGATAGTCCATCAGCATAATTGCATGACATTTTAAAGATTTTTTTAAGTTATGCTGGCGAAAATTTTGTTTTTGTACATTGATGATTGAAATCAATAATTGAATGTTGATTAAAATTCAAAACATTTTATCATAGAGCACTAGGTATATAGATATACCAGTATGTAGAGTAATATCTGTGGTAGAAATTATTGCAATCGAATGAGTGTTTTGAACTGCTGATATTTTTACTTTATCTTTACAAAATGTGCTGGTATAATTTGGCTAAACTGTTTTTTTAGCAAGAAATCGAGTGTATATATATGTATATAAATATAGTTTCAATAACCATTCATTTGATCTTTATCTTCTTAATTATAATCAAGAGATGAGTTAGTAAAGCCGAATACTTTCTTAAGGCCAAGTAGGTATTTAAAAGAATATAGCATCAGACTTTGATAAACGAGTTTAGGACCACCAAGCAAAACACAAATGAATGTGAATTAGGTGTCTCGTTCACCCATGCAAATAAGTTACATAGCTCTGGTATACAACTAAATAAAAGTCTGTGAATCTAACTGTCTATTCTGCTTTCTAGGGTATATCGGGCGGTTTAGTCAAGATGTCCTAACAGTAGTGTATGTAGAAAGTCGAAAACTAAATTTGTCGACACGAACTGTCATTTTCATACTAAATTATTATATTTATCATGACAAAAAGACTAGACATTGTATCTATGGTCATATACTAAATAATAAAAAAAGATTGGAGGAAAAAATTAATTCTATTAAAAGCATTGATATACAAAAAACCCAAGATGCACAGTCTCGAATAAAAGTAACGCTCGAAAGTGTCCCGAAACACTATTTCTGTCCATAACAGTATATGTTACAAGCATATATTATTGCAAAATCAACCTTACGCGAATTGCTTAAAGTTGTTATTACAACGCAGTGTATACGTACTTAAAGCAATAAAATTTTACGACCGACCGTGGTCGGTAGGACAAGGTATTGAGTGGAGTCGAACATGACTTTTTTATTTATAACTGTTTAACATAATTTTAAATTTATCCGACTTTTCGGGTGCTTTACAGCGTGAGTGGTCACGGTGACTGAAGACAAAAGGTGTTGGATGTTAAATAGTTGTAAATTTATAATAATACATAACATTAATCCGGTTAAAAAGTTTTTTCTTTAAATTAAAAAAAAATGTTAAATTGGCTACCTCCTGACCCACTAAATATATTTGTCAAAAACTACACACAAAAAAGTTCAACAGTACATAAATTTATTTATAAAAAAAACACAAATAAATAACATCGACTCCACTTATAGACGCGAGACTATTTGAAATGAGCGCACAATTTAGAATGTTGCGCTCATTTTTTGAGGACGTTTTTTAGACGTTGATTGTGCATCTTGGGTTTTTGTATATCAATGATTAAAAGAAAAAAATGTGAGTAAAATTGAGTAAAAAAAGTGAGGCGCCGTCTGTTAGTGTTTTGTTTGTTGTTTTGATTTATGGTTTAACCTTCAAATTTTATTTGCTATCTCTGTAGACTGTAGAGACTGAGCTACAGCCTACATTCTACAATAAGTTGTTGACTTTATAGTTTATGCGCCGGTGATCTTCAGTGGCGCCAGTCGCGTAATACTTAAAAATATCATACGTTCATTGTAGTCACGCCAAATTCTAGTTTAGAAACCTAGAGGATATTTTTGTTTCGTTATAGATTTGAAAATGATTCGGAATCTTAGCAAGACGTTAAAGTTACAAAAAGCACATTTTGCGACTGCAACAGCGCCGGCACCCCACACCACCCCGGATGTTTTGTACACTGGAGTATGTATTGTACATTCTTTTGCATACTTAAAACAAATATGTATATACATAATAATGTTTAATATTATTGTGCATGGTTTAAAACTTTTTCATTCATTTATTTTATCATTAAGGCAGTAATTGCCTAACCTCTCAATATCTAATCAAATATTGCAAACATACTAGTATAAGTATTTAAGTGTCTATAATTAATATTTCAAAAAATCCTATTACATATTAATTAATTTAAAATAGTAAGCTCTGGTTATTTTCTGTTAGCTTAATATTTTTATGAAAACATTATATATATATTATATACAATACTTATTTACAGATATTTATCAATAATGAGTGGGTGAAATCTGCTGATGGCAAAACATTTCCAAGTGTTAACCCTACCAACGAGAAAGTTATTGCAGACATTCAACAGGGTGGAAAAACAGACATTGATAAAGCAGTCCAAGCAGCAAAAGATGCCTTCAAGTAAGATCTAAATGATAATTTTTGTAATTATTTTCTCGTACTAATTAATAACATAGGCCTTAAGATTTCATTCATAAAAAAACAAGACACACAACCTAACTTTTTTTTTGTATACAATGCACTGTCCAACTATTGTAGCAATACAAGTTTTGCTGAATATTATTATATTTAAAAAAAGGCTGGGCTCACCATGGAGGACAATGGATGCATCTCATCGGGGCTACCTTTTAAACAAATTGGCTGATCTTATTGAGAGAGATAGGACTTATATAGCAGTAAGTTTTTTAAAGAAATTTTGTAACTTTCCTACATACATATATATTTTATATTTCCATTCTAAAATATCTGAGCTATATATAAACTGATAATACTAACTTACTATAAATAATACTGAAATATAATTTGTATGAAATTTTATTTAATTATTTTATATTAAATTTTTAATGATTTCTTTGAAAATTTGATGTTTAGTCTAAATCAACCTTAATCTCTTTATCGCATGGTTAAATATTTGAAATATTAATTTTAAAATTTTAGTTCTATTTATGGTGTTTTTAGAGAAAAAAGAATTTGCAATTCATTTTTAATCTATGTTAAATGAGACACCAAACCAAAAGAGGGATTGAAACTAAAATCCCACATTTAAATGTACCTAAATATTTTTGCAGCCTTTATTTATTATAGAAACATAAATAAAATGTACGTAACCCAATCATTGATATAAGAATAACAACATTTCAACATGACAGGCGAAATATGCCGATAAGCAAAAGCTCAGCATGATAATTTTTATACTATGTCTATGAGTCTATGGTCAATAATAAAAATTACTCTGAATTTTTGATTTAAATTAAGCCAAAGAGGTTTAAAGACGTATAAATACTGCTTCCATAAAATGCACACTTTGACAAAGCAACGGAGCGAGAACTACCTTATGTGAGACTAGCTACCCGCTCTGGCTTAGCAAGGGAAATCGTGATCCTTAAACCTTGAAATTTATATCCCCAAACCCTCCTCGTGAATCATTCTAGGTGTTGGTGAAATCCTCAATAAATTCCGTACAGTAGTGTTTGAGTTGATCGCGATGAGACAGACAGCGGTGGTGACTTTTTTGTAGGTATTATCAAGGTCTATAACATTTTTCAGTCTATTGGTAAAAGAATTTTCAAAATCGGTTCAGTAGCTCCTAAGATAACAACCTCACAAACTTTACCTCTATAATATTGAGTATAGATTATCCAAATGCACCATCTGTTGACTGAGTCTGGTGTATGTAAATAAAATCAATAACTGAGATTATTTTTCTTTAACCCGAAATAACCAAAGGTACAATGCTTATTACTTTAATTGCTAACTACACGCAGAAGTTTGTACTGAGATCTCCATAAGTGAGAAACACGACATATTATAACAGGACTATTTTGTATTCATACAATGTTGACAACTTTTATAAGCGTTGCGATCTTCGAAGTCGGTGGTGTTACAACCCGAGAGTACAAGAGTTAATTAATTCAATATCAGTAAACAAATAAAAGCTAAATGTAAAAGATTATTTGTTGAAAAATTAATTTATTACAAAATTCCCTTAACTCCAGTTGACTTCCTAAAATATAGTCTTATCTTGAATCGCGGTTATCTTCATTTTTAAAGTTATATTTTTTTTGGCGCGTTAGGGAATAATGATAAATTTTTACGATGCGCGCGCACACCGTCCCAAAAAACACCCTTAGGCCGTTTCTCCACTGCTCCGGTCCGGCAAACGTTAATTACCGATCCGATTTAGAAACTCACAACAGTACTTACGTACTTCTCCACTACTCCGGCATCCGGTTTTTAACGATCCGATAACTTGCTAGATCGGAACGCGGTGTTTATTTATAGTTTCTTTAATTTGAAAGAATCTGGATAACCTGGACCTAACCAAATTATGTTGCTATTTATTTATATGTTTATACCATAGTATTAGTGAACTATTTATTAAGTAGATTATAATATTTTAAGATAGTTTTATTAATAAAATAAAGTATATGGATTTTAGTTAATATAGGTGTTGCATGATAAATATACAAGTATCGATTATTGTCGTATCGGATATAGTGGAGAAGCGCAATCCGGCCTTCCGATATTTTTCTCATGACTCATTCCGGTATCCGGCGTCGGACGCCGGTCCGGAGCAGTGGAGAAAGGGCCTTAAGTTAGCTATAGGGTAAAAGCCGGATAGTTGCCTCAGACGGATACATGCCCCGGTGTTTAAAAAACTATGTTAGGATTATAAGTTGTATTGGCGCTTTACTACAATAAGTAGTGACTGCCCCTCAGGCCTAAATGCCACGTAAGCCATCGGAATAGGCCCAAGTGTTTTGTCCGTGTGAGCAAAAATCTTCCGCGGCGAAACTATGACGGGCGTTATAATTATATTAGTAAGTAATTTCTATTGAATATTTTTATTACTGATCGTGGTTTCAGTCAACTTTTTGTTTCTTTGCATGCATTAGAGTTTATATTACACTGTTTATCATGTTTTATTGCTAAATAATTTTTATTTATTTCGCAAATAAAAAAGGGCAAGTATCCGCATCAAAAAGGATAGTTGCCCTACTTACTGTCGCGGATAGTTGCCCCTAGAGTGACTAAAAATTTCTTAACAAGCAAAGACGGATTTTATTTTTTTGCTGTTTTTTTGATGTTTATTCGAATTTACTTTGTCTCTAACTTGTTGTAACTTCACAGTTTTATATATTTATTATAGATAAGCAAAAGCCTCATCAACATCAACTGGACAGAAGGTGCTTAGCACTTGCCTTCGAAAAATTGAGACAAAGTTGGGATTAAAGCACAACTTTATTAATGAGAGTAAAATGGCTGGACCTCAATGGCTAAAAAGCTTTCTTGAAAGAAATCCTGATATAACTTTGAGACAAGCTGAGGGTTTATCAATTGAAAGAGCGAAGGGTCTCAACAGAACAGAAGTTGCAAATTTTTTCAAACTCTTAACAACTATTTTAACTGAGAATAATTTGCTGGATAAGCCAGATAAAATATTTAACATGGATAAAAGCGGTGTCGAACTCAATAATAAAATTGGTAAAGTATTAGCTAAGAAAGGTGCTAAAGCAGTTAAATCAGTTACTTCCGGTGAAAAAGGAGAAAAAATTACTGTTGTTTCTTAATATTTCAAATTGTACTTAATAAAAGATCTCAGTAAATTATAAAGACTGTTAAATAAATAATAAAGATAACTCTATTTGATATAAATTTCTTTCTATCCAAAATAAAAACGCACGAGGCAAGTATCCCCCGAAGCATTTTCTACGCTAGGCTACTATCCGCCATAGTAGGCAACTATCCCTTTTCTGAGAGGTGAAATAAAACGGTATTTATTCAAAACCATTGTTAATTATGTATACAAAAATAGGCTTTTATAGAAGATAAAAGACCTATGTTGCGAGATACATACTGAATAATTTTCAGCAAGTTCATATTAAGGGTGGTGTACTTATGTATAAGAAGTTATACTTCTTTGATTATTAAAAATAGTTTTTGATTGCATGCAAATAATTAATTACAATTAAATAATAAAGATGGAAAAGGAGTCATTAAAGTCAATAAAGTTCAGTTTAATTTGAAAAATTATTAAATAAATATTTATTATTATTCTCTTACATTAAAAATAAAAATATTTATCTTTAAAAATTTTTATTTCATTATATATATTTTAAGTATTAATTTTCATAGAATTTCGGTTTGTAATTTTAAATTAATCATTACTTGGTTGTGATCTATGAGGCTTCTCCAAAACTACTTGTTTCTGCAAAAATAAGAGAATATAATAAGCTCTGTCCATGAAAATTAAAATTTTTTATAATTCATATTATAATTTTTAACACATTTATATTAATATAATTATATAAATGTGTTAATAATATAATTTGTAGCACATTACAGACCTGATAGCAACTTTCTTTATTCTATTTAGAGATAGAGATAATTTAAATATAATACGGTGTCCTTTAGGTTTCTTTGGAGTTGTTTGGGATTCTTGTTGTTCAGTTCGACATGATTTTCTTTAACTTTCTTTAATCCTAAAAATAATGAAATTGTTAAGTTATGTTGTATGTTGTGCACACCTTGTTTGGCTTTTTAGTATTCAAGTATGTCAAAATGATTTATTACTGTCATGTTGGCTTTATTTGCTTTTGATATCAATTGTTTCCAAAATGATTTTATTTGTAATAAGAAATTTATAATCTATTAATTTAAGTATCATGGTGAGTGGTTCGCACAGGTATTAAGGTATTATACCCACTGTCCATATAAGTGGAATGGGTCACTTCTGGCAGGAAGATTTCGTACTACAAGTGCAACATGGATTTTTGAGGTATTATAATATCTCTAACTACTGAGGGAATAAAGTAATGTTGTAAGCATATGCCTATGCTGAAAGGTTGAAATGAAATACCATAATCAATTTATAATTAAATTCCTACTCGACACCATCACAACAAATTAGAAATCTACTTCAAACATTGTGTCCAGAAGGTGATGGTGGCTTTGTTCCACTCAGTTTGATGTTTCAGGCATAAGATGAAATTTTTTTATTCAATTTATATTCATGATTATCAATTTTTTTGTCTGTCTTATATTTCAATTAAATCTGATGTTTTATTAATATTGGTATTTTTTAGATGCAGGTATTATTAAAATTTTACTTCTCTTTATATCGCTAAGTCATTTCTCCTTATTAGTATTCTGCTTAAATCTTTGTTCTCAATTATTGATATATAGGGTCGTAGAATATTTCTAAAAAGTTGCTTAACAAACGCAATAAAAAAATGAATAATGGTTCATGTTTCAGTTTTAATCAAAAAATACTCGATAATACATACGGATAGTTAACCTCAATTGTATTGAAGCACTCAGGAAGGTTAGCACAGTTTTTCAAAATATTTTATATTATTTCACAAATATTTTGTATAATGAAAATAACTAGGTATTATTATTAATTTTAAAAATAATTAAAATTATATTTGTTTAAAAGGTAATTCATTGTCAGATTCAATGTCATGGTCATTCAAAATTTTGTTAGCTGTAACTAGAATATGTAAGTTAGTTCGAATTCTATTCCTTTATTGTAGTTTGTCTTATTCCCATCTCCTCGCCACTATATCACACTAATTTTGTGTCATAGGTGCGCGCGCAATCGTAAAATTTCACTCTCATCAATTTTTCATAACGCGCCTAAAGAAGTACAACTTCAAAAATATAAAGCTTTTTCGAAAAGTGGGGCAACTATCCGGCTTTTCCGTCAACATTTCAGGTTTTTCTATTGTTGGTGTCGTTTTTACTAAAAACGTAGGATAAACTATTTGAAAAGATTTTTATCTTGTTACGCCAAATAATTATAACTTCTAACGCGTGTACATAAGTACACACACACGTATTTTTTTCGATTTGGACGTATTGCTTACTGAAAAAGTCGAGTGATAAACTTCATCGGAAACATACAACGAAACCGATGTTACTGAAGTTTTTGAAATATTTAATTTAATAAGGTATTTTTTCTAGAGCTTGGAGACATTAGATAATGGTAAGCCATTCTTGGCCGCGTACTACGGAGATGTAGCGGGCACCATAAAGAACCTGCGCTACTACGCGGGTTGGGCCGACAAGAATCATGGCAAGGTGTTACCAACAGACGGCAAATACTTTGCGTACACACGTCACGAGCCTGTTGGTAAGTTAATTAAAATAATGTAGTTTCTGATATCTAAATGTTATGGATTTATAACGATTTGATTAGGTATTGTTTGTGTCGTTTGCTGTTACTCATCTTCTATGCAATTATAATATAATATCTACATAATAAATAAACTCGCTTCTGTACACCTACATATTATACGCTGTGAACTAACACGTTTTCTTGCCAAATAAGACTCAGGCAGAAACTTGTTACTCGACTCTCGCTCGTGTAAGATAAAGGACGTTTCTAATGATTTTTTGTAAAATGTTAATAGTACTTAACTTAAAACATTAAAATTTATATTATTATAAACTGATTACTAGTAACTGAAAGTTATTACATATTTTTTATGTATAAAGTTCGTAAAGCACAAGCTTTATGACAAGTTACCGAAGTCAGTTGCTAATTGCTATGATTAAACTGCATACGCACGCAAATTAATTATTACTATGCAAGCTTATATTGTAGATATAAAAGTATTTATAAATACTTTGACCAATCCCTGTATACTTAGACTTTTCTTTGTTCTTGTTTCTTTTTAAGCACGTAAACGCGTGAATGTAAAACCGAACGCGACTCATTCGACTCCTACTGCCTAGTTATGTTTCAACTATAAAAAAGAGAGATAAGTGCTTTTGTTAAAACGGTAAACGGACTAATTTTAAAGAATATAGGCTTATTACAAACATACACATACATGAATGAATCATTTGGTTTGGTATGAAAAAACAATTTTTATTACCTAACCTTGAAACATTTAAACATTATTAATTATAGACGAAGCAACTGGTATTTTACAAGACAGCAATAATTAATAATATAATATTGTAAAACCAGCATAATACGACCATGATGTGAAGCATTTGATGTTTCCGTAAATTAAATATACATTTTTAAATAAACTTATGATTATAAAAATAAATATTCTTTAAGCGAATAGAATTTGTTTACAATACAAAAACACATTTAAATCAATTTTAATTGGTTAATTTTCAGTAAGAAACCGTTACAAACACGTTATCGCATTTATTTTACACGTTTTCGCAACGGAAAATTTTCCTACATTAAAATTTTCCGTTGTATTACAATGTTTTCGTTTCGCCTTAATATAAAATAAATCCGCCGAGTTTCTTGTCTGTTAAAACACCAGACTGTTTCAAATTAGGTTTACATTCAAATATTAAAAATTTTTACTTAAAATATATTTATTCTTAAGAATTAATTGTTAATTAGTTTTTAAGTCGTAATGAGACGTATAGGTTTATAAGTTATTGAAATGTGAATTATAAAATTATATTAAATATTTATAATCCTTTAACGCGTCTTGTTAAGCGGGCCATAGACGGACCGCATGTTGCAGTCAAGACCGACTGGAATATGCGGTCGCCGCACGGCGATCTGCAGTTTTCATACTAAATTCATATCCGCAATACACGGACCGCTCGAGCAGTTCCTGAGCAAACCGCATATTGCAGTCGGTCTTGACTGCAACATGCGGTCCGTCTATGGCCCGCTTAAGTCTTTCCCTCGCATTGAGTGGGACTGATCTATTTAATTGCAGACTGTCTGAATCTGGTTTAGTTTTGATGTTTTCTTGTTTTATTTATATGTTATATTATGTTCTTAGTTAAAATTTGTATTAATTAGTATTCAACTGCATTAGTATTAAATATTCTAAGATCATTTTGTTTTCGCGGAATGCTTTGCGTCTAATTTTAATTTCAAGAGTTATCAAACCAAATCTATCTTTATAGTTTTCATAATCGCTATCTAGTTCTTTAAATCGGTTTAAACGTTTTATGAAAATGGTGTAATTAGAGAAATTTTAAAGTGTATGGGGTTAGGCCGTTTCTCCACTGCTCCGGTCCGGCAAACGTTAATTACCGATCCGTTTTAGAAACTCATAACAGTACTTACGTAGGCAGGTTTTTAACGATCCGATAACTTGCTAGATCGGAACGCGGTGTTTTATCGGTCCAAGTACAGTAGAACCTCGATAAGATAAAGTCCAAGGGAAACACAAAATATTTTATGTTATCGAGGTTTTAAGTTATCAAGGTTTTATGTCAGGTAAAGGCTAATATAGAGGTATGTACATGTTTCTATGTACCCTTCCTCCCATTTTTACTTGAATGCATCAGAAGGATGGAAAATTAAATATTTAATCATATTTATTCACATTACTTACATTACATAAAAATAAAACAACAACTAAAGGTTTAGTCTACTTAAAAAAAACTGTGATTTTCTTTTGTTTTAAAAAATTCACTGTTTATAATCGATTTGATTTTCAATGACAAATAGAGAGGAGAATACATTAACACATTAACTTATGATGCAAGTAAGTCGTTGTCACAAAGCTAACCGCCGCAAAGCTTTGAAGAATTTAGATAAAGCAAACAATAGGTAATGTATTGTTTACGTTAACAATACATTAGTAAACACGTGCAAGCAATAAATACCGAAACCATTTGTTTTGACACTCTTATAAAATGACTCATTCACAAACAATTTTATGTTATAGAGGTTGTGGAAACATTTCTTTTAGTTACTGAGGGCCTATACAGAGATTATTTATTTACGTTATAGAGGTTGCGTATTTTAAGTTATAGAGGTTTTGGGCTCTGATGGGAAGGGAACATAGTATTTTTTGAAGTAACAGAGGTTTTTATGTTACCGAGGTTTACGTTATCGAGGTTCTACTGTATATCCAAGTATCCCAGAGGTTATAAATTATTATTCACAGGTTTATTTTTAGTTTCTTTAATTTGAAATAATCTGGATAACCTGGACCAAACCAAATTGTGTTGCTATTTATTTATATTTTATACCATAGTATTAGTGAACTATTTATTAAATAGATTATAATATTTTAAGATAGACAATATAAAAATGTAATAAACTTGCCAGGGCAATAACATATTCAGAATTCAGAACGTTTTATTAATAAAATAAAGTATATGGGTTTTTGCGACGGGGTGACTTATTTTTACTGATCGATTATTGTCGGATCGGATATAGTGGAGAAGCGCAATCCGGCCTTCCGTAATTCTTCTCATGACTCATTCCGGTATCCGACGCCGGACTGGAGCAGTGGAGAAAGGGCCTTATAGTTGGAAAATTTTACTGAATATCAACTAAAATTTAGTCAACTGGGTTATCTTGAGTAACTTGTTTAAATTATTACTTAAGACAGCCAAGGATGAATGATTTAACGAAATTTGGTTCGCAGGTGTTTGCGGTCAAATAATACCATGGAACTTCCCGTTGTTGATGGCGGCGTGGAAGTTGGGTCCCGCCCTTGCAACAGGCAACACATTGGTGCTAAAACCAGCTGAACAGACGCCACTCACAGCTTTATATTTAGCACAACTTGTTAAGGTGTGTATTATATCTAAAGTAAAAAGAAGCTTTAATCACTTCGAAGGTGCGTGTTTCACTGTTTAGGTATAGGTGACTATTTGTGTATATCAAAAAAATTTGTAGGAATCTACTAAATGCTACTGATTTTTTATTTGAGAGCAAACTAAATTTTGGCTGCGTTCGTTATCCAAAATATCTTTTCAAAGGCTTTTAACAAATGGCTCTTTATAGACTATGCTTCGTAGTTCGTAGCAATTACAATTGGTGTTTTAAATAAAATATAGTGTCATCATAAAACTATTTCTATGTCTGAGTTTCATTGACTGAAACTTATATGTTTCAAAATGAATTAATAATAAATATAAATAATTAAAGCACTTACACTTATTTAGATACAATTTTTTAGCACAAACTAATAAAATCGACAAAGAAACCAAAATTATAACAGTAAAACAACTTTATGTTAATAGCAATTTTATTTAAATTAAATCTTAAATAACTCTTCATAGTAGCTTCTCATTTAAAACTAATCAAACATACCACGCATAGCTCGTCGAACGAGTTTGCTTATCTTGGCGAAGCCGTGCATAAATTATCTGTTAAGTGTGTGCAATTATCTAATAGATTACCTTAAAAATTTCGTAACAATTTTGATAACAACGTTACACACATTATGACCCCAGAGGACTAAATTACAAAATTTAAATGTCCGATGACGGAGTGCAGTTCTCATAAAAATAAAATTATCATTTTCTTAATAAGAATAAAGTTCTTTCATAATAAAGAACTCGGCCATAAATACCATGAGGATATTTACGAAGTAGTTGTCGCCCGGGCCCGGCGGGTGACGTCAACAGACCTGAGTATGAGCAAATAAAGTCCTTTTTTAGGAAAGGGAACATTTGACACTCCCTCTGCTTCTCGGGCTCGTCTTATAAATAAAAAAAAACATTATAAAGAAGGTTGAGTATTAGCTCTTAGATTAAAACTTGATTGCGTGTCTATATATTTGTTTATTACTATAATTGTTTAACTCATAAATATAGCTATATCGGTTATCAGTTACTAGTTAGTTACACACAAATATCTCTAACATAAAAAGGTTTTTTAGGAAGCCGGCTTTCCCGAGGGTGTAGTTAACGTTGTGCCAGGATTCGGCGACGCTGGCGCAGCCTTAGTTGAGCATCCCGATGTCGATAAAATTGCTTTCACTGGTAAGTAATAAATATCCGCCTTGGGTTACAATGGATAAAATATGTGACTACCATACAACAGATGTTTCAAACACATACAGTCTAGATATGATTTTGATTCCCGGGGTAATAAATATAGCATACACAACATTAAATATGTTAATTTTTCATGATTTTTTTTAACATTTACACATTTTCTACTATTTATATCGATTTCTTTATTTCCTCTAATTTCATGATTCCATACTTAATCATTTGTTCAGACATTGTTTTCCCTCTTTCTGTCAAATTATTTTCACGATGCAATGAATAAATCATACCAATAAATATCTATAAAATTTAAATATAAATTTACTTTAGCCTAAAGAAGCGATATATAGAAAAGTATGATGGATGCTCTATCTGATTTTACTATTCTTAACATTTCAATCATTATTTCTAACAGGTTCTACAGAAGTCGGTAAACTAATCCAGAAAGGTGCTGCGGGCACAGTCAAGAGGATCACTTTGGAATTGGGCGGAAAATCACCAAATATTATATTAAACGATGCCGACTTAAACCACGCGGTGGAACAGTCTCACATGGCGCTGTTCTACAATATGGGACAATGTTGCTGTGCGGGTAAGTTGCCATATCTCATAAATTGTGGAGTCCTTCCTCTGTCCAGTCACTGACTGGCCCGAAGGCCCCATCGGCTTAGGTCGAGAATGTAATATTGTAGATTATTCTTAGGGTATGTGTCAATCGCGCTGTTTTGTGTTGTTGAGTTTTGGAGGGGAACAACTTTGTTATCATTATTCTAAACATATATAGCCCTGTTTAAATATTGTATATGTACTAACTAAAAAAGCAATGATCCGCTAATATACGACATAATTTAAACCTACAAAAAGTGAACACGTGTTAATGAAAGCGGAAAGGTATGCTATAATGTTAATTATGGATTTGTTGATTAGTATTACTCAGTCAACAGAAGTATAAATTAACATCAACAGCTAACGTAAAATAACATTTTCTGTTATATGTGAACAGGTTTTATAGCCGGTTTCTTTTTAATATGTATTTCCAAAATGTTAAAAATGATATAGAGAGCATTTGACAATTCTCTTCTTAATAAATATTCACGTTGTAGTAATGAACTCGTATTTTTCGGTAGCAAGTATGCTAAAACGTGTTATTTGTTCACAAATATTATGAAAATTAAGTCAAGATGATACATATTTCAACATGAGAACAGTCCAGTCCATAAAGTAGTCCAATAAGTACCAAGGTAAATAATGTTGACTGTTATTTGATATTTGCTCAATTTCCCTGACATGTAATCTTATCGCAGTCTACAAATGTCTGATAAGAATGGTTCAACCTAATTACATAATTAAAATACGTTAAAACACAATACGATTGCCGATAAACTGTTTTTCAATTTCCTTCGTATTTTTGTCGGCATTTGGATATAACTTTTGGAAATCCTTTCTGTTTAACTAACGAGGATTATAATATATTATCTTATTGTTCTTCGTTGTTTGCCAAGGACATTACAATAAATTTTTACATCTAGAAACGCAATAATAACAAAACGAATTGTAACGTAAACCCTTAACAAAGCAAGCTTTATAACTATTACTTATTTAAGAGAACACACAATCACAATTGTATCATTTTTATGTTATTTTTCATTGATAAACTGTCCTTATATGCGCATATAAAATTCTAACGGTGAAGGAAAACATCGTGAGGACTTGCGTCGATGGCGAAAATTAAAGTCGACAGCGTGTGTCACGCACAGGAGGCTGATCACCTACTTCCCTATTAGATTGACAAATGATCATGAAACAGATACTGAGGCCCAGATCTAAAAAGGTTGTAACGCCACTGGTTCATTTTTAAACTATCCTAATATAACGCCCTATAAAAGTGTGTTTTTGAATGTTAATACGAGTAATTATAAGTAGACGTTTTTCTATTCTATTCGTTCCAGGTTCACGTACGTTTGTTCAAGACAAAATCTATGACAAATTCGTTGAAATGTCAGCGGAGCGTGCTAAAAGACGAATTGTGGGCAATCCTTTCGATCCTAAGACTGAACAAGGACCACAGGTATTTTTATTATTTAAATGTTAGACTAATATCTAACTAAATTATGTGATCTGTGCATTTTATTATTTATTTTATGAGTATAACTATAAAAGTTTCTTTTAGCACTTTCAAACTAGATGCTTAAACTTAAAGTTAATCGCGGACCAAGTAATAGAAATACAATTAAAAGAAGTTTCGTTTATTGTGTGTTTAATATTATTATTATTTATATATTTATCTTGCTTCTTTATATTCAAAGTGGCTAGAGTGATCAAGACAAAACAGCAATTCAGCTAACCTCACACGAATTTCAGATTGACTCGGAACAACACGAAAAAATCCTTAGCTTGATAGAAAGCGGGAAAAAGCAAGGCGCGAATTTAGTAACGGGTGGCAAACGTCAAGGTGATGCTGGATTCTTCGTCGAACCCACTGTCTTCGCGGACGTCAAGGATGATATGGATATCGCTAAGATTGAGGTTAAAATTATTTCGCTCAACCCTGGTCGTTTGAACTTCGGCTTTATAAAAACTTAAAATATTTTTCATTGTAAATTATTTATTATTTGAATTTAAATTATTATTTGTTAAAAGCATTTGGTCGAAGGAAATATTATTGTCCTTTTGACTATTCAATTCAGTTATCCAACATTTATTCACCTGTTTAATTTTTGTTATAGATCTTCGGTCCAGTGCAACAGATAATAAAATTCTCAGATTTAGACGAAGTAATCGCTCGCGCCAACAACTCAGAGTATGGGCTCGCCGCCGGCGTCTTCACCAAGGACTTGGATAAGGCCAATTATCTCATTCAGGTAATTTTAATATTAATCTTAAGGGTTCCAAAAACCTCTGTTATATTTCCCTTTTAACAGTTTTGTTTTTAATTAAAAAAATATAAAATAAAGAACACTGAGGAGTTCATCTTGTTGCCACACCACAGTACACATTCAATAACTTAGGTCCATATTCTAATTAGTATCTTACGTCACAATCTCTTCTTAAGCTATGTAAAATATGTCAAACTAACAACAGGATAAATGGTTTGACAGCTCTTGAAACTGAATTTAGGTTTGTTTAACATTCAGGCCCTAAACTTAAAGACATACAATAAATACGAATCTAAAAATAAATATATATTTTCCCAATTTATACACAAAATAATTTAGCAAAACTTATCGCTTTTCCTCATAGCTTAATCACAATTTGATGGATAGAGATAAAAAGTACTTAATGTTAATTTTAATGAGACTGATTAAGTTTTGAATAAGGAGGTTTATTAATAAGTTGTACATAGAATGGATTATTAAAGTAATAAGAAAGTGGCAGCTAGGTGAGGGGTACCGGGTTCGATTCCCGGTTCGAGGGCAAGTTTTAATTTAATTTAAATTTGTTCTCGGCCTTTGGGAGGGTTGTGCGGTACCGGGCGAGTGCTTAAACTGTACATGGAGGACACGGTCGAATTTCTAAAAGACAAGCACGAATTATAAAAAGTCCTACTCTTGACGCTGGCTAATGCACAAATCGTGCCAGAGCCATTAAAAGAAAAAAGTAATAAGAACAAATAATAATTAGCTTTGTCAAATTATCAAAGTCACAACAAAATACTTTTAACTTTTTCGCTTCGATTGACTTATTATAAAATATGTCTTCGCCTGTCTAATCCTGAAACTGTCCAAGACAGAGACTAAAGTATTATACATGTATTTGTTTAATTCAAGAAAAATCGCAGTATCATTAACATGTGAAAAACGTTTGTTAACGGGTTCAAAAGCATGGACTGGAACGACGCCATCTTGTCAACAGAAGCGTTTTAACGGGTTATTAAAATAATGATTTAAAGCAGCATTTAAAATTGTAATTTAATGGATAATTCTTATTTAAATCTCAAATAGCCTCAATTTGTTCTTCTATCAAAACTTTTCCCGCATATTTGGGCTTTTACTTTAATCCAATCATAACTCTTACAGGGTCTCCGTGCTGGTACAGTTTGGGTGAACGATTATAATGTTTTCGGACAACAAGTGCCATTCGGTGGGTTCAAGCAATCAGGTCTTGGAAGGGAAAACGGACCGTATGGTATTAACAATTATACAGAAGTTAAGTCTGTAGTTGTTAGATTGACGGAGAAAAACTCGTAATTATTTGCACAAAACACAAGATTTTTTGTGAAAAATGTTTAGTTTTTATTCAATTTTGATAACAAATGAATGATATTTTTTTATTTTGTCGCACAAAATATTTGTAATCAGATTTTTTATATCTAGTCTAACAATTGTGTTTATTTGTCAATATTGTAGCTTTGTGTTAACCTCGCTCTTAGGTGTGTCAATAATTTGCAGGTTTTTTAACCTAGTCGTGTTAGACGATAAAATTCCTTTAATAATTTCCAAGCAGGAATTTTATTTTAAGAGGGGGTCAAATCCAAAATGGCGCCAAATTAGAACGGTGCGTTTACTTAAATTGGTGAATTTTGATAATACTGTTAGGAAAATGTGCCATTTTGTGTATGTAACAGTGGCTTCATGAATATTCTTTTAGCTATGTATAGAAATAATATATTTTTTTGTATGCCAATATACTGTTTATTACATTGCTTAAATGTATTATATTTATTTACTAGTCTTCCATTATCAGTGCTTAGGTTGTTAAGCGTTTAAGTTTTAAGCCAATTTTTCTTAAACATTACATTGAAATATATTTTTATACGGAAAACTGCTATTTTTATTTAAAAATATATCCCTTACAACATCAAACAAAGACGAAAATAGTATTTTTGACTAACCCACTATGTCCTTCCTACATATTTACTTGACATTATGCTATTTTTAATAAATATAAATGTCGATATGTTTTTCCACGGTGTCAGATTGTTTGTTTGTACTAAGCTAAGCAATTTGTAAGATACGCTTGCTATTTCTGGAGATTCATATTTACGGATAGACAAAAAAAACATATGTATTTAGTATTTAGTCACATTTTTCTCGCCTACAATTATTTTGCGTAAAGGTTTTAACTGATGACAAGATCTTAATCGCAGAGAGCCACGATGGTCTACAGACTTTAGACCATTCATTTGCCGACGTGAGTTCTGAATTTAGTATTACCAACGCGAAAAAGTTAAAATATATGACAATAATCCGAACACCGGAACTTTTCTCGCAACTTATACTGCTCATCAATCAGACCTTGTAGGTACAGGACCAGTGGAGGTATTCAATAACAAAATGGCACAATAATAGACTTAATAATTAGGATAAGATTTCGTCTTGAATTTTGCCTATCTTGCAGCAGCGCCCGTACTCTGTAAATAATATTTATCGCTATTAGAAGTTACATAGTACGGTCACAGTTCGATAATCGACTCTGATAATCCATTTTATTATTTTGACAGGATGAAATTCTTTTGCAAATGAGTAGAAATTTCGTCGTCTATGTTGTGGATTAACTATAAATATCAACTTCAACATGTGAAACCTTTAAAAATTTTGGTTTCAAGATAATGAGGTGAATGTAATTTTTAAGTTTAATATCAACAATTTTCATAAAAACTAGATGATTAAAAAAGTTAAAATTAATAGTATGTAAATTAACTTTTTTCACTATGTATTGTGTGTGTAACCACTAGTATGTGTATTAGACTTTTCTTTAAATTTATTTTTATATCAATTTGTATTTTTAAGTTTTTTATAAATTTTTAATTTTGATAAAAAACTAAAATAATTAAAGTTTGAAAGTCGATGAAACGAAAGAGCGACAGTAAAAAGAGACAGACACATAAATTCATAAGATTTAACCTGGGAGAAAATGAGATAGGAAGCAATATACAGTGTATAAACTTTAAAGGGTTCAAAGAATAGCCACGAAAATATTCAGAGCACTAAGGAACAAAGCTTATAATGAGCGTCTGAAAGCACTTGATCTTACCGATTTAGGAAGTAGGCCATTAAGAGGCAATCTCATTGAAACCTATAAAATCCTTATTGGCCACTACAATGTAAGTGAGATCACACATTAAACGCGTAGTTCTTTAAAACTGAAGACCATTCAATATAACACAAATACCCTAAACAACTTTGTCCCGAACCGAGTGAGCCGATTAGTTCACTCTTCTTTGAACCCTTTCAGAAATAGGCTGCTTGTGTACTTCCTGGAAATACAATAAATAAAATAATAATAGTACAAACTACAAACATTTATTATTACAATACTGAACAATAAAAAACACCAAAAAAAGTGATGAAATTTTGTCAAGGTAGTGAAGGCGATCATTTTTTCTCAAAATACAACCACTGTATCGTTAAAATATTGAAAAAAACAAAAAAAAAATACATAGGGGTTTTCCCGGGGGGCCCCCCCCCCAACCACTGACCTCCCCGACGTTGCTTAACTTCGGTATGGACGAGAACCGGTGTATTCAACGTGGTGTGGGCGTTGGCGGTTTTAAAACGTTAAAATACTGATCAATTTGATCTTACAAATACATACGAATAGTCCCGGATGGAAAATTGACGTTTTAGTAATACTATCACGGGATTGGAAATATTGCTCGAACGAACCTATGAACAGGAAAAATATGTATCGTTCGCGTATGTGGTTGTATACACATTTCATTCATTTTTCTGTTTCAAGGGTTTATTTCATTTTAACTACATTACTTTTTGTCTCTTTCTGTCAACGTTATGTGAACGCCGTGATGAAAAGAGACACTTGAATTAAGTTAAAATATATATATATACATACGCGAACGATACATATTTCACCTGTTCATATGTCCGTTCGAGCAATATTTCCAATCCCGTGATAGTATGACTAAAAGCGTCAATTTTCCCATCCGGGACAATGAACACAAGCGACTGGATCTGAATAAATGGTATGTATTTGTAAGATCAAATTGATCTACTATTTAACGTATTTCATCGCCAACGTCCATACCACGTTGAATACACCGGTTCTCGTCCGATCACCGAAGTTAAGCAACGTCGGGCGAGGTCAGTACTTGGATGGGTGACCGCCTGGGAACACCTCGTGATGTTGGCTTTTTGGTTTTTTTTTTCAATATTTTAACGATGCAGTGGTTGTATTTTGAGAAAAAATGATCGCCTTCACTACCTTGACAAAATTTCATTACTTTTTTTGGTCGTTTTGAATGTTCAGTATTGAAATAAAAAATTTTGTACCATTACAGAACAAACACGGACGATACCTTTGAGCCCAATGAAAAGGTGGAACAAGCCACTGAGACGGAACATACAGAGGACTACATATGTGACTTGATTTGTAGTGAACTACAAAGCCTTTGCGTTTATCTGTCTGTCTGTTCGCTATAAACTAAAAAGCCGGGGCGGGTGCCTACTGGCTAGTCTCTTATAAGATACGAGTAGTTCTTCGCTTCGCTTTGTGCAAGTCCGAAGCAGAGATTTTTAGTAATGGAGGCAGTTTGTTTATACGTCAAGACATTTTTACTTTTAAGCCACTTTAAATGAATTAATTTAGGCCCTTACAAGCAAAAATGAGTGACGAACCCCAAAATTCTGCATGACCGGGGCGAATATTTCGCCCGTCATGCTGAAATTTTGTTAAACTTATATCAACATTTTAGACAATGACAACATGACAGGCGAAATATTTAATTGATTGCGATTAATTAAAATTAAATTTTGGCTGCAATTATAATAATTCGTTAATCATAATATCAAATTCTATCTATGTACAAAAATATTGAGGTATTTTTACATGTGGGATTCGAGATCCCGTTCCCTCTTTAGGTTTGGTGGCTTATTTCATATAGATTATAAAATAAATTGCTTACTCTCCTTTCTCTAAATGCACCAAAGTAGAGCTAAATAATATAATAATAAAATTTATATATAAAATATTAAACCATGTGATAAAAAGAGGTTTAGGTGGATTTAGACAACATCCACTTTTCAATGCATACAAGTAAATTAGAATATCATTTATTTTAGTATTATATACAGTGATTAATACCTATTACAGTTTATATACGGATATATCTACTCCACGGGCACCAACATTTTTATGAGTCTGGTGTATGTAAATAAAATCAACAATAGAGATATTCTTTAATATAGATAATAGAGATATAATAGTATCTACTTAACTTTAAAAAAGCAAAAAGCCGAACTCGACTCATTCGACTCCTACTGCCCATTTATGTTCCAACTATAAAAGAAGAGAGATCAGTGCTTTTGTTAAAACGGTGTACTAAGACTAATTTTAAGAATAAAACTACACGTGAACTATGAATGACAAGTATTTTTAGTATGAAAAAAGAACATTTTTTACCTAACCTTGAAACATTTATACATTATTAATAATGAACGAAGCCACTGATAATAGAATTATTATTAGAATATTATCAAACGAGCATAATACGATCATGATGTGAAGCAGTTTGCTGTTTCCGTAAATAGATTTATCATTACTATAGCTTAACCGAGAGGTTTATCCTGTTATATATTTTAAAATAAAATGTTAATTATGAAAATAAAAATTCACAGCGAATAAATTTTTTAAGAGGAGTAGGTTACAGAACACACATGCAAAAATCAATTTTGATTGGTTAATTTTCAGTAAGAGAGCGTTTCAAACGTTATCGCCATTATAATAAGAAATAATGGAAAAGTAAAAAAAACATTGTATTAGAATGTTTTCGTTTTGCTTTATATAAAATAAAACCGCCGAGTTTCTTGTTTGTAAAAATACGTATAATAATTCATTATACGTAATTAAACAGTTTCATTTCTTAATAAAATAAATTAATATTTTACTTTATTAAAGTCAGAAATGAGACGTATTAGTTTATATAAAGTCAAAGTCAAATCATTTATTTCAATTAGACCACCTTAAATGCCACTTTTGAACGTCAAGCAAAATACAAAGAAGATTCTAGTTGCCCCTTCCAAAAGGTAGTTTCGTGTGGAGAAGAATGGGCAAGAAATTCCACACTTACTCTTTTAAAATAGGTTTACAATATTTTGTTTACATTTGTTAAATAATTATATGTAAAGACAATGTACTATTAGAATAAACTGATTAAAATGTGAATTATAGACCTATACTAAATGTTATTAATATCTCTTAAGTCTTTAAACTCTTTACCTCACATTGAGTGATA